CCAGTAACCAAATGTTGATAAGGGTACCCTTTTTGGGTTGGTTACTTTATAAGGGAACCCACAACCAAAAAAGGGTAAAGGATACCACTGCGCTGTGTATCTACATATATATATATATACATGTGTATATATATATATACATATATATATATATGTGTGTGTGTGTGTGTGTGTGTGTGTGTGTATGTTACACATGCACATGACTTGCACGGCCTGCGACGGGCGAGCACGTTTTCACGCCTGGAGTCAAACAAGCCTGCCTCGTCCATCACCACGTAGTCGGCCATTTGCGTTTGCACCTGACATGCCACTGCTGCAAGAGGAAGCAAGTTTAGGGTGTAGGGTTTAGGGTTTAGGGTTTAGGGTTTAGGGTTTAGGGTTTAGGGTTTAGGGTTTAGGGTTTAGGGTTTAGGGTTTAGGGTTTAGGGGATAGGGTTCGTTGCAAGCATGGAAGTCTGCTTGCCTCCAGCATGACCTCTTCGCGCAGAACTTTTCGCACTGAGGAGGTCAGATGCCTGTCATCCAGGCAGGATCCACTGAGGTCCGTCCAACAAGACATGCAGAGAAAAGACACCCGAACGTCGCGAAACATGATCCGGAGACTTCAATACCCCTTATTTAAGCAATATTCATTCAACCATACAAGGAAACCGTAAACCAACCCCTAACCCCTAACCCCTAACCCCTAGCCCCTAGCCCCTAACCCCTAACCCCTAACCCCTAAACCCCTAACCCCTAAACCCTAACCCCTAACCCCTAACCCCTAAACCCTAAACCCTAAACCCTAAACCCTAAACCCTAAACCCTAAACCCTAAACCCTAAACCCTAACCCTAGTATACTTTAAGGAATATTCTTATTCAAGGGGGACTGGAGTCGCTGGGTGATCCAACCTCTTGTAGAAGAAGCACGCAGCCACCAGAAAGCCAGCCTGGGCCGGCCCATCGACCGTAGGGCTTCAGAATCCTATTCACCCACCCCCCCCCCCCCAAACCCCCTAATGTTCAATACTCCATGATACTTGCGTTCTACTGTGGGGGGAAAAATTTAAGATTAGGGGGAAAGTGGGGCGTTGAATATTAGGGGGAGCGCGAGGGGGATTCTTGGGCTGGGTGACGATCTTCTCGAGGCTACGCCACGCTTCAACTTTTATCGCGCAGTTGGGTCGGCAATTGTTCTTCCTCAAAGACGCTCGCCGCTAGACCCTAATTAAGCCCTAAACCCTAAACCCTAAACCCTAAACCCTAAACCCTAAACCCTAAACCCTAAACCCTAAACCCTAAACCCTAAACCCTAAAGTAGGGGCCACGCCAGTAGCAAGAGACCGATGAGGAGCGAAGCCAAGGACGCGCCCGTGTCCGCCATGGCCACTTGGCCCAACACGGCACCTGCGGCTGAGGGTTTCTTTTGAGGCTTCGGGTTTAGGGTTTTTCGGGTTTCTAGGGTTTAGGATTTGGGGTTACTGCATGTGGGGAGAAATCTTTCTCCCAAAGCTATGGCAAACACCACGCTTTTCCCCACATTTTGACCCCGAAACCGCAAAAGCCCTGAACCCTAAACTCCTTAAACCCTTTAGGGTTTAGGGTTTAGGGTTTAGGGTTTACCGTTTAGGGTTTAGGGTTTAGGGTTTAGGGTTTAGGGTTTAGGGTTTAGGGTTTAGGGTTTAGGGTTTAGGGTCACCCCTAAACCGCAAAGCCCACGCGGAGCGGGGCGGGCCCCTCTGAAGAGTTTCGCACTCAGCAGGCGGCGTCGTGTATCCGCCACAGACCTCGGCATCTTGCCGGTTGCAAGATGTTAAAAGGGCCCAATACCCCTTAAAGGTTTAGGGTTTAGGGTTTAGGGTTTAGGGTTTAGGGTTCAGGGACCGCAAATCATAAAGGGATCCTTAGTAAAGTATGGTTCGGTATAATCCTGAAGTAAGGTGTATTGGGCTCTCTGGGTGGTTCTCCAAAGTACGGTTTAGTTTATAGGGTCTCTAACTTAGGTCCCTTTTCGGGGACCGTAGAAGAAGTACGGCACCCATACAATATGGCCTCATTCAGAGAGAGCTATCGGAACACAACAGTCTGACTCTCTCTCCGTGCGGCATCAGCCATCGACGAACAAAAACCTGCTTGGACGTGCAAAGTCAACACTGCCAACCAGAAGCACGCAAGATCAACACCCTAAGCCCTAAAACCTAAACCCTAAACCAAAACCCTAAACCCTAAGCCCTAAGTCGTAAGCCCTAAACCCTATACCCTATACCCTAAACCCTAAACCCTAAACCCTAAACCCTAAACCCCAAGCCTTGTTAAGCAGCACAAGATGAGCAGAGGACAGCTTGCAGCACCGTTTGTGGGTCGAGAGGGCCGCTGTACCTTGACATGCAGCTGAGGATTTGACTTTAGGGTTTAGGGTTTAGGGTTTAGGGTTTAGGTTTTAGGGTTTAGGGCTTAGGGTTTAGGGCTTAGGGTTTAGGGTTTAGGGTTTCGTGTTTAGGGTTTAGGGTTTAGAGTTTAGGGTTTAGCATTGAGGGCTTCGGGGCCTCATGTGTGCTAGCTTTCACTAGCCAAGCTGCTTTTCAAGCGACAGGAACATACCCACCCGCCCACAGAATCCACAACATTAAGATCATGATATGGGAGCACTCCACCAGGATGCTTGCACCCAAAGTCCCCCAAAGTCCAGAAGGTTAAGGGTTCAGGGTTTAACCTGCGCGTCAGCGCTCCCGCCCCGTCAACCCCCCCCCCCCCCCCCCCCGCCCAAATTACAAAAAAGAAAAAACCTTCAGCCTCGTTACCTAAACCCTAAACCCTAAGCCCCAAACCCCAAACCCCAAACCCTAAACCCCCGAACCCCTGCACGGCACCTCCAGCCATTGAGTTGGAGGGCGAGGCCTCAGTGGCTTGGTGATTTGCTTAGGGTGTTTGGGAAGGGTCTAGGAGTAACTTGGGTTAAAGGCGGTTTTAGGGTAACCTAAACCCTAAACCCTAAACCCTAAACCCTAAACTCTAAACCCTAAAAAAGGGGAACAAGGGTTGTAGGGGGTTTCGGTTTGAGGTTTACGGCTCTTGGGGTGTTGGGGATTTGGGGTTTAGGGTTGAGGGCTTTAGGCGGGTCGTGGGGTTTGCGGGCTTGATTTAGGGGCTTGGGGTCTGATGTAGAACTAGGGCTTGAGTCTTTTGAGGTTTAGGGTCTCAGATTTGTGGGGTTTTATGTTGGGGGGCCAGGCTTTTTGGGAGAGGTTGAGGGGTTAGCCTTAGGGTTGCTGTTTAGATGGTTGTGGGTTGGGGATGGAGATGCCCTTCTGGTACTTGTTCTAAGAATCTGGCCACATGTTGGCAGTTGTTCAAAAGACCCCCCCCCCCCCCTAAACCCTAAACCCTAAACCCTAAACCCCAAACCCTAAACCCTAAACCCTAAACCCTAAACCCTAGACCCTAAACCCTTAAGCCCTAACCCCTAAACCGTCCCCAAAACAGCCGTCTGGTAGGCAGCCCAAGAAGCGGCTCCAGGCCACGTTCTTCAGCTGCTCTCGGAGCATCCTGGCTGAGGGTTTAGGGTTTAGGGTTTAGGGTTTAGGGTTTAGGGTTTAGGGTTTAGGGTTTAGGGTTTAGGGTTTAGGGTTTAGGGTTTCGGGTTTAGGGCTTAGGGTTTAGGGTTTAGGGTTTAGGGTTTAGGGTTTAGGGTTTAGGGTTGCCAACCCGAAGCCCTCAACTTCAGGGCTTACTTTGGGATTGCAGGAGCTTTCGGGGTTCGGTCTTTGCGGTGAGTGTTGGGAGAACATGAAGTTATGTTTAGGGTTTAGGGTTTAGGCGGTTTAGGGTTTGGGGTTTAGGGTTTCGGGTTTGGGGTTTTGGGGTTTAGGGTTTGGGATTTCAGCCAGCGTTTAGGGTTTCAGGCGTGAAGGGTTTGGGCCAGTTTCAGGGCTCAAGGGCTTAAGCGGTTTAATGGTTTACGGTGCGGTATTCAAGCGAGCCGGCTGTTCGAGCCACGATGCTTCTGGACGCACTCCTGTACCTGCCCAAAGAAACGCATCCACTGACTTCCTAGACCCGAGAGGAACCTAGGAATAAGAAGGGCGCCCCTTTTGGTTTAAACGGGCTTACTGAAGGGAACCTATGCCCTAAACAAACGGAATAGGCCCAACATTTGACATTTTTTATTCGTTTAAACAATTACTTAGAAAATCATGGGAAGTTACTTGAGTATGTAGTCTTTAAACAAAACAACAAATAATTATACATATATTGAAATAACAAAATTAGTTTTTATTATAATTGGAATATATTTTTATAAATTCTTTATAAATATTCATTCAACCATCAAAAGTGAAATATAAATATACCGAAATAAATCCACCACCAATATCAGAATCCTAGTTTCCGAGGAGCCTAAAATGCGCGTTAAGGGTCTTTAAGGTTCGGGGGGGGTGAACCCGGGATTCTAAACCCTAAGCCCTAAAGCCCTGAGCCCCTAAAGCCCTAACCCCTAAACCCTAAACCCTTTAGGGTTTAGGGTTTAGGGTTTAGGGTTTAGGGTTTAGGGTTTAGGGTTTGGGGTTTAGGGTTTAGGGTTTAGGGTTTAGCACCTGGATTCAGAGCTCGCAGTCACGCGCCTCTTTTCTGCGATTTGCCGGGCAACGGGTCCCGGGCTTAGATGTCTAATCCTACTTCCTACTTGGAGGTTCATGCGGGTAGTGAAAAGCAAGGTTCTGCGTATTGTTTCTGTACTTATAACTCCACTTTCGGGTTCTTTTCACCCTGCTTATAACTACCCCTGAACCTCCAGGCACTGGTCCTAGGTGAAGTGAGGACACCGCTTCTGACCACCCCTACTACTCATTCTAAGCCAGAAACAGACCCAAGCCAACAAGCTTCAATTCCTAAACCCTAAACCCTAAACCCTAGACCCTAAACCCTAAACCCTAAACCCCATAAGCTTCCAGTGGCTCCTCACCGTCTGTCCACATTTGCGGAGAGCGCAAGATGTCCCGCGCGGAGCGTGCTCTCTCTCAGCTCAGGAGATGGCCCTGGAGCAAGAAAGGGTTTAGGGTTTAGGGTTTAGGGTGTAGGGTGTAGGGTGTAGGGTTTAGGGTGTACGGTGTATAGGGTGTAGGGTGTAGGGTGTAGGGTTTCGCGTTTAGGGTTTGGGGTTTGGGGGTGTAGGGTTCAGGCTTTGGGGTGTACGGTTTGGGGTTGGAGGCTTGTGGCCTGAGGGTTTGGGGTCTGGGGTTAAGGGTGACAGGGTTTAGTAGCCCTAGGATACTCGCCTTGGGGATTCGGCCCTGAACGGTTCGTGGGCTTCAGAACCCTAAACCCTAAACCCTAGACCCTAAACCCGGATCGCTTTGCCGGTCCAAGTTCGGACATGCGCAGGCGCAAGCGCGGAGGAAACTCGGGGTTGGGAAAAACCGGGGCTTTCGCCAAGCTGGCAAGCCAAGCTGATGACACAGCCTGTCCCTACGATTTTCTTGAAGAACCCCCTAAATAATTCTTCTCCCTACCGTAAAATAGGGATTCTTATACTTCATTTTCGGGGTGTACTTAAACAAACAAAAACTGTAGACAACCCCCCCCTCAAAAAAAAAAACACAAAATAAAAAAAACAAATCATCGAGCCGGCCCCCAAGCCATGGAACCCTGGAACCTCACATCCCTAAACCCTAAACCCTAAACCCTAAAACCCTAAAACCCTAAAACCCTAAAGCCCTAAAACCCTAAAACCCTAAAACCCTAAAGCCCTAAAGCCCTAAAACCCTAAAACCCCAAACCCTACACTCCGGTCCACAGAAGGCCCCCACCCACTGGCCACAGACTTGCAGGTAACTGGCCCAGCCTGGGTAGTGCTTCGGGGATGGTGTAGATTTTCAGAGTCCAAGGCTTCGAGGTCTGGGGTTTAGGGGAAATTTACGGTAGGGTTTAGGGTTTAGGGTTTAGGGTTTAGGGTTTAGGATTTAGGGTTTAGGGTTTAGGGTTTAGGGTTTAGGGTTCAGGGTTCAGGGTTCAGGGTTCAGGGTTCAGGGTTCAGGGTTCAGGGCTCAGGGTTTAGGGGTTTAGGGGTTTCGGGTTTTCGGGTTTTCGGGTTTTCGGGTTTTTTCGGGTTTTTTCGGGTTTTTTCGGGTTTGGTTTCGGGGTTTCGGGGTTTCGGGGTTTCGGGGTTTCGGGGTTTCGGGGTTTCGGGGTTTCGGGGTTTAGGGGTTTAGGGGTTTAGGGGTTTAGGGGTTTAGGGGTTTAGGGGTTTCGGGGTTAGGGGTTTTGGGCTTTTACAGGGGTTGAAGGTTGCACAGGGGTTTAGGGTTGGGGGTTTGCGCGCTGAGGCTTTGGAGCTGGCGGATCCTGACCCTCGGCGCCCGGCAGAAGTCATCCACACTGCGCCGTTGTAGGTACCCTGCTTGCCTTTGCAGGACAGGAAGTTGGGATGTTGCCCCTTGTACTAGGAGTCCTGAATAGGGATTTTTGTACCCCCCCCCCCATTCTATCACTGGGTTTAGGGTTTAGGGTTCAGGGTTCAGGGTTCAGGGTTCAGGGTTCAGGGTTTAGGGTTTAGGGTTTAGGGTGTAGGGTTTAGGGTTTAGGGTTTAGGGTTTAGGGGGAACATCCCAAAGAGGCCCACTCGTCGCAAGCACTCGGCTCCTCAATCCCTCCCCAATGCTTGCAATCCCGAAGCCCCAAATTAAGCAAAGGCTCCGTAAGCCGCAAACCCTAAAACCCTAAACCCTAAACCCTAAACCCTGAACCCTGAACCCTAAACCCTAAACCCTAAACCCTAAACCCTAAAAAAACCCGAAAACGTTTGGAGAAGTGAGAAGCTGAGTTCCTGGCTTCCATTGGTCACGCAGCCTGGTCTCAGCACCTCCCACGGCGCTTTGCCCGTCCTGAGGCCGGCAAGCAACGTCAAGCTTTGGCAAGGGTTTAGGGTCTAGGGTCTAGAGGGTCTAGAGGGTCTAGAGGGTCTAGAGGGTCTAGAGGGTCTAGAGGGTCTAGAGGGTCTGGAGGGTCTAGAGGGTCTAGAGGGTCTAGAGGGTCTAGAGGGTCTAGAGGGTCTAGAGGGTCTATAGGGTCTATAGGGTCTCTAGGGTCTCTAGGGTCTATACGGTCCAGGGTCTAAGGTTTAGGGTTTCGGGCCACTTTTGGGTTTGGGGGTTTCGGGGTTGCAGCTGCCCAAAAGCCACGAAACCCCTAACGTGTGCGTCAAGCTTCCGGCGGGGTTGGGGGCCTTCATAGATTTGGGATCTTCGCAAGGCTATGGTCTACGACTCCCTAGATCCCAAAGAGCCCAATCCCCCTTAATTAAGGCATATACCTTACATCAATATTAAGGATCACTACATAATCAATTTGGACCACAACTGAGGGAGGGAGAGGGAGAGAGAGAGGGGGCCCATAAGGTAGAACCGACCACTTGCAGGTGTGATGGACCTCCCAGGTGAACGCATGTGAACCCTTTAGCACCTAAACCTAAACAGCCCCTTAAAGCCCCTGAACCCTAAATCCTAAACCCTAAACCCTAAACCTTGAACCCTAAACCCTCTTCCAGTGGTTGGGCCGTGGTGCTTCTCGTTCAGCTTGTCATCTGCCTCCAACATCTCCAGACCTGCGGGGACTTCTGTGAGACTAGCAGATGCAGCTGTCTCCAAATTAAATGCATTGGGCTCCCCACTTTCGAACCCACAAACTACCTCTTAAAGACCCTAGACTTCGAAACGCCCGAAACCCCCGAATCCCTAAGCCCCAAGCGCTGAACCCCTTGCTCCCCCTAAATCCTAAGCCCTGAGCCCTGACACATGGTCCCTACCAGCAATCAAGCTCCAGACCCTCCCTTGCCCAAAGTCCTAAAGCCTGTACATACCCTACAAGCCATGAACCCGCTAAACCGCAGCCAACAAAAGGCTTTGCAAGCCTGATAAACCTTTCCCAGCCCGTCTCCCAAAAACCTCCCAAACCTCTTGATGAAGGAGTATTCCTGCATGACACGAGAGGATCCTTAGTAGAACGTAAGTAATATTGCTGAATTGTGCTTGGTCTATTGCCCTAAACCCCAAAGCCCCTAAAACCCTCAACCCCGAAAGGCCCAAAAAAACCCTAAAACCCCTAAAATCCCCAAAGCCCCCCAAAAGGCCCAAAAACCCCTGAACCCCCCCAAGCCCCTAAACCCCTCAAACAAAAAACCGACCCCCCCAAACCCCCAAACCCCCCAAAAAAACCACAAACCCCCGCCCCCCCCCCCCCCCCCCCAAAAAAAAAAAAAAAAAAATATATATATATATATATATAATAATAATAATAATAATCATAATAATAATAATAATAATAATAATAATAAAATAACCTCAAACACCCAAAACCACCCCCCTAAAATCCCAAAACCCCCCATAGAAACCATAGCAAAACCACTGAAGCCCCCCGCAGCCTTCGGCTACAACTCTCTCACCGACTTGGGCACCCGCCGGCGGCTGCATCAGCCTCGAATCTGGGTTTAGGGTTTAGGGTCTAGGGTTTCGTCGAGGGTCCAGGGTTTAGGTTTAGGGTTTCCTGTTTAGCGTCTATGGTTTAGTGCTTGGGGCTGGAGGGTTTAGTGTTTAAGGAAGGGCTCAGCAACCTAAAGTGCATGCCCTAAAGTCGGGCCCCCCCACCCACCCAAGCCTTGCAAGTGCAAATCCTGAATTCCTAAACCCGAAACCCAAGCCATCTAGGGGTCGAAATATTACAAGTAGTATTCCCTTAGGATCCCTTTGTACTTAACCCCCACAACCCTGTACGAATTGTTCAGGGCCCTATACTAGAACCGGACGTTGCACAGATTCTTTGTCTCTGCCGGCCTTAAACAGACTTTCTCGAGGACTGGAGACCACCGGTGAACGGAGGGAAAAAGCTCCTGGTGTGGTTCCACACCTGATTTCGGGTGTTCTCCATGGAGCCCCGGATAGCCCGGCGGCCTTGGCCCGAAACCCTCTTTGAGAGGATTTGCATGCATTCCAGGCTCAAGGTTCGTGAGATGCACTGTAAAACTGATGAAGGGAGACGAGGTTTCATCAAAGATCCGACGATCCGACACTTCTCCAGCTCTTCCCAAGCAGCTCAATTTTGATCCGGCGGCGCCTTCCGGTGTGCTGGCCCTCTTGACCCACAATCAGCGCTGCCCCGGGTCGTGGTCGGCGCCAGCACCGTTCTCCAGCAACTGCACGACCCCCATGTGACCAAGCTGAGATGCCAACGTCAGAGCTGTCCAACCGTCGGTGTTGGCCAAACCGACCTGCGCGCCGGCTTCCAGCAGCAAACGCACGACCTCCACGCGATTCTGTACAGATGCCGCCATCAGAGCCGTGTAGCCGTCGCTGTTGGCCTTGTCGAGGCCTGCGCCGGCCTCAAGCAACAACTTCATCACGTCGACGTGGCCGTGTGGCGATGCCTGCATCAGAGCCGTGCAGCCGTCCTCGTCGGCCGTGTCCGGGTCGATGGGACGCTGCAGCATGGACTCAACCTTAAGTGGCTCTCCTAAATTCGCAAAAACCCTGAAATATCGATCATCTCTACCCTACATCGGAGTGAAAGAATGCGGCCAGGATTTGGACCCGAAACCCTAAACCCCAAACCCCAAACCCAAACCCAAACCCCAAACCCCAAACCCCAAACCCCAAACCCCAAACCCCAAACCCCAAACCCCAAACCCCAAACCCCAAACCCCAAACCCCAAACCCTAAACCCTAACCCTAAACCGGTATACTGCAGATTCGCCCATGTAGGTTTTCTTTTTGGCAGCTATCCGGCCTCAGCCGCGGAGCCACGCGCCGCCGCGTCCATGAGCTCCTCCACATCCGCGGCAGAAGGCTCCGAGTATGCAAGCAGGACCTGCACCATTGGTTTAGGGTTTAGGGTTTAGGGTTTAGGGTTTAGGGTTTAGGGTTTAGGGTTTAGGGTTTAGGGTTTAGGGTTTAGGGTTTAGGGTGCAGGACCTGCACCATTGTTCTTGGCTGCACTTAGCAGGGCAGCTATATTTTTTTAAAGCTGCCTTGTTAAGAAACCCAATAAAAACCCAAAAAGGCTAAGGATCTAAAGTTACAGTAAAGCACCACAGAGTGTTTGGGGCACTATTTCAAAGATGGCCATTTTATTGTTCCTATTGGGTTTAAGAAACAAAAAATGGCAACTTTTGTTCCTTATTGGTTTTAAGTATTCACACAACATGTGCCATTTTTGTTCCTTACTGGGCTTTAAGTATTCATATAATTCCTTATTGGGCTTTAAGTATTCATATGACCATGTAACATGCTTTTCAACAATGACCCAGGGACGAGCTCCAGCTCCATGGAGGCGTCGACCCTGGTCGCATCCTCCAAGCTCTCGCCAGCAAGAAGCAGCCTTTGCCGGAAGCGTGGGGGCAAGCCGTAGACCTGGCCGTGTACCCAGGTTTAGGGTTTAGGGTTTAGGGTTTGGGGTTTAGGGTTTAGGGTTTAGGGTTTAAAGAGCCCAATACCCCTTAAATAAGGAACATACCTTAAATTATATAGGGATCTCTTATGTAATTTAAGGCATCTTCCTGAATTAAGGGGTATGGGGCCCTCCGGGCACCTTATGCAGGTGTTGCTTCACGTCCCACACGCCGGTGTGCTCATCCAGTGGCACCTCCGCCACATCTTCGCCCGAGAGCATCCTCACACGGAGCATCGGCATCGTGGAAATGTCGCGGAGGAAGCTGAACGCGTCCTCGCCCAGAAATCCAAACGGAAGCCACGATGCTGCATCAATATCAAACTGTACGACGAATCCTAAACCCTAAACCCTAAACCCTAAACCCTGAACCCCTCATGCCACAAGGTATGCAGGCCCTCTGAACCCCGCACCGGAAACTTCGAATTGAAGGGCTTGCCGAATACCCACAACTATCTTATCAAGGGACTTAAGGAGGGACCCCACTTATACCGGACCTTAGGAGTTATTGAGGGGCTACTTAGGTATGCAGGGACTATAAAAGGTATATGTAGGGGTTATATAGGTATTTAGGGGCTACTTAGGTATGCAGGGACTATAAAAGGTATATGTAGGGGTTATATAGGGGAATAAGATTAAGGGTCCTTCTAGGGGCCGCTCCTTCAATCCAAGAACGTGTTGAACACTCCCCGCTCCTTGTCAGGCTTACCTAGGAAAACCCACAACCAAAGAACTCTTGGGATCCCCCCAGTCTCCTTACAGGAATTCCTATGTTTCGGGTTCCCCTCCCAGCCATAGACCCCAGGGTTTGGTAGGGTTTGCGAGATCTGCAACTCGCTGACACTCGTGAAATCTTAGGGTTTGGGGTTTAGGGTTTAGGGTTTGGGGCTTAGGGTTTGGGATTTAGGGCTTAGGGTTTGGGGTTTAGGGCTTAGGGTTTGGGAATTATGGTACTACACCATTCAAAATCCCAAGTTCTACACTCCAAATCCCTGAACCCCTAAACCCCAAAACTGACTGGCTCCTGCAGGAGTCAGATACGGTGACTTGGAACCTGCGGTTGCCCTTGAAGCCTTCCGTTTCGCAAGTCCTAAACTCCTCAACCCAAAATTCCTGAAGCGTAGACTCCTGAACCCTATAAACCCTAAACTCCAGAGTCCCCAAACTCCTAAACCCTAAACCCGAAACCCTAAACCCGAAACCTTAAACCCTAAACCCGGGCTGGGCGGCGGACTCGACCTTGCCATCTGCGCTGGTGGCGCACATGACCATGCCCTGCGACTCGAAGCCCACGAGCTTCCTGCGGAGGGTTTAGGGTTTAGGGTTTAGGAGAAATTTGGGGTTTAGGGCTTCAGGTTTAGGAGTTTGGGGTTTAGGGTTTATAGGGTCTATAAAGATCAGGGTTTGGGGTTTAAGGTTTCGGGCTTGGGAATGTTGCGGGCTTTTTGGGGCCCACAAGGCTTAGAGGGTTGAGGACTAATGGGATCATATGGCATCACGGTGTTTGAGGGCTTGGGGAAGATCTCGAGGTTTCGTGGATTTCGGTTTAACGTAGCAGCAGGAATACCCTAGCCACCACAAAGCTACGTGCGTCAGCATTCACGCCCCCCTCCCCCTTTCCCCCTATGGTATCTCTACGAAACCCTAAACCCAAAAACCCTGACACCCGTTGCCCCCACAGTATCCCCCCTCCGCCCACGTGGTTCATGGTGGGTTTAGGGTTCAGGGTTCAGGGTTTAGGGTTGTAGGTTTACGGTTTCCCCTGGTTTGTTTAAGGTTCTAGGGTTTGGGGTTCAGGGTTGTGGGTTCAGGTTTCGGGTTTCCCCTGTGGTTCGGGGTGGGTTTCGGTTTTTGGGTGTTTAGGGTTGAGGGTTTCGGTTGCCGGTTTCCCTGTCATTCAACCCTAAACCCCAAACCCGCGAAACCCCAAAACCCAAACCCGAAACCCAAAACCCAAAACCCTAGGAGCGCGGATGCATGTAAGCCCTGAACTGTCTCCGTGCGCCTTGGCTTGAGGTTCGCCAGGACGGTCACGAGCTGGCCCTCCATCTCCTTTTGGGTTTAGGGTTTAGGGCTTAGGGTTTAGGGTTTAGGTTGTGTAGGGCTCACAGGCCCCCGGCAGCCGAAGACCACCAATGCCCTACAATAGGCTCTAAGGCCCTAAACCCTAAACCCTAAACCCTAAACCCTAAACGCTAAACCCTAAACCCTAACCCCTAAACCCTAACCCCTAAACCCTAAACCCTAAACCCTAAAACCCCAAAACCCCAAACCCTGAAGAGGTGTTCAGGATTTAGGGTGGAGAGGCTTCGGGTTTCGGGGATTCAGGGGTTGCCGCGCTGTTTGGGGCGTTAGGGTTTAGAGGGTAGAGGGTTTAGGGTTTATGCTCCAAGATCTCCTGAAGCTGGGAAGGTTGGGCTCAGGAGGCTTAGGGTTTAGGGTTCAGGGTTTAGGGCTTGGGGTTTAGGGTTTAGGGTTTAGGGTTGAGGCTTGAGGGTTTAGGGTTTAGGGGCTGTTCCATATTCAAGCCTCAGGCCAGATTCAAACTTGCATCGACGCTGCAACATAACAATAAGCACCCGCAGCCGCGCACTCCATCACTCACAGTCCTTGTACTCAGAGGCCGACAGAAAACTTGCCCCGACACTCACGGAGAGAACCTCACAAACCCTAAACACTCCCGAAGGGCGAGAAGTGTATGACCCTAAACCCTAACCCCTAAACCCTGAGACCCTAAACCCTAAACCCTAAACCCTAAACCCCGAAACCCGAACCCTCGACATCCCGTGTCCTCCTGCTTCAAGTGAGCACGAAGGCCAGAGGCAATCTCAGCACAGGCAAACAGCAGACTGTTGACACAGACCAGGTCCCGACTTGTCTGTTGCCCTAAACCCTAAACCCTAAACCCTAAACCCTAAACCCTAAACCCTAAACCCTAAACCCTAAACCCTAAACCCTAAACCCTAAACCCTAAACCCTAAACCCTAAACCCTAAACCCTAAACCCTAAGCCTCCTGAGCCCAACCTTCCCAGCTTCAGGAGATCTTGGCCTCAACCCTGGGGGGGTTCTCATACTCTCGCCACACTGGGCACCCTTGCAGGGTTAGAGGGCTTTCTACGTGTTTGGGGTGGCCTACTGCTCAGACCTCCAGAAGCCCGGCGGGTCTACTTGGAGGGCCTCACCAAAACCGACATGGGTTTCAAAACTTTTTGGGACCCTAGACCCTTTAGGTTTAGGGTGTAGGGCTTAGAGTTTAAGGGTTTAGGGTTTGGGGTTTAGGCTTTGTAGGTTTTAGGGGCTTAGGGGCTTGGGGACTGTGGGTTTACAATTTCTGCAAACCGCAAAACCTAGAAACCCCAGACGATGTTTATGTGGCATCAGTTGCAGCTCACCCCAGTCGGTTGCAGAGGGACCAAGTCTCCGCTACGGTTTGAGGCCTTTTGCTGCTGCAGCTGCCGGTCATGGATCTTGTTGGCTTCCGTCACGGAGTTTTCCGAACCTAAACTGCCTAAACCCCTAAACCTCGAAACAAACCCTAAACCCTAAACCCTAAACCCTAAACCCTGAACCCTAATTAAACCCTAAAAATCCCTAAGCCCTCATTAAACCCTAAACCCTAAACCCTAAAGCTCCCCCTGCCTGGCGTGGGGCGCCCTCTCCGAGGTCGATCTCCTCACAGTAGAGCTTCTCGGCCTGGTTTTCCCAAAGGGTTTAGGGTTTAGGGTTTAGGGTTTAGGGTTTAGGGTTTAGGGTTTAGGGTTTAGGGTCTGAGGGTTTAGGGTATAGGGTTTAGGGTTTCAGGTTTCGGGTTTAGGGGCGCAAGCCCATCAACCGTTATGGTCTAGGGCTTGTCCCGCATACAAGAGGCTGTTAGCCACAAGAATGTCCCAACTCACTGCGTGATGAATGTGAGGTTTAGGGCTGTAAGTTTGCGTGCTATCTATGACAACCTGTTACGCCGGCAACTGGCAGTGCCCACCCGCAAAGACATGTTTGAAGCCAAGTTGCTGATGGGTGTGGCCAAACCTATCCAGACATCATGAGGACTTGCGCATCATGCAGGAATATGTGCAAAGAGTGAGCATGAAAGATGTCAAGGTCGTGATTCTGCGCGGGAGCCCAGACCCCTGGGAGGATCCAAAAAGCAGAGCCCCCAAAGGGTGCCCTATACTAACTACTATTGCGTCATTTTTTAGAAACCCTCCAAAGGATGTACTTTTTGGATCCTCGCAGGGGTCTGGGGAGGGCGCCATCACACAGCACCGCCTTCGTGATCTTGCCCACCCTGATGTTGAGCCTGCCAGAAACCCTAAACCCTAAACCCTAAACCCTAAATCCTAAACCCTGAACCCTAAACCCTAAACCCTAGACCCTAAAGGCGCACAAGGCAGAATGTGTTCACTTTGTGGGCGCTGCTTTCGGCGAACAGCGCCTTGAGCATGCCGGTAAGGTAGCCCTAAACCCTAAACCCTAAACCCTAAACCCTGAACCGTAAACCCTAATCCCCAATTCACCGCTTCACCCCACCCATTGTCCATCCAGTAAAGGTGTCCATCACTGCCGGGTATCTTCTGGGTCCAAAGAGCCAGGCGAGATATGGTGTTGGCGACCATCGGCCGGCTGAATCTGTCTGCGGCAGCAGCTCGCATGAGAGTAGTCTTTGCGGTGGAGGAAGCCACTAGAAGCAGCGACGACTCAACTGCAGCCTGCAGTAACCAAGAGGGATTTAGGGTTGAGGGTTTAGGGGTTTGGGTTTCGGGTTCCGGGTTTAGAGTCTAATTCGGGTTTATCAGTTTTTCAGCCCTCAATGAAGCCCCAAAGATGGGCCTGGAGAAGTCCTCCAGCGGCCGCTCGGCGGCCTTGCCAGGGGCTGCCTTGGCCTTCGCCTGGCGCAAGGGTAGGGTTTAGGGCTTAGGGCTTAGGGCTTAGGGCTTGGGGCTTAGGGCTTGGGGCTTAGGGCTTGGGGTTTAGGGTTGAGGGTTTAGGGTTTAGGGTTTAGGGTTTAGGGCTTAGGGTTTAGGGTTTAGGGCTTAGGGTTTAGGGTTTAGGGTTTAGGGCTTAGGGTTTAGCGTTTAGGGTTTGGGGTTTGGGGTTTAGGGTTTAGGGTTTACGGCCTAGGGCTTAGGGTTGAGGACGCCAAGCCCTCAACCCGAAGGGCAATTTTTGGGTTGAGGGTGGTGGGTTTAAGGTTTATAAGGTTTAGGGCTTTAGGGCTTTAGGGTTTCGGGCTTTCTTGAAGCTTAGGGTTTAGTGGCATCTGGGAGGGTCTTCCGCATCTCATGCTTCTTATGGGTCAGGGCACCCTTCAGTCGTTCCCAAGTTCTGGGGCATTTCTTTTCGGGGGGTTTACGGTACTAGGGGACCTTATTATTGGGGTCCTTATAATAAGGGGATCCTACTATATGGGGGGTCCATGTTTGGGGTCCCTTATCTCGTAAACTCCCATAGATCGTGCTGGGTTCAGGGTTTAGGGTTTAGGGTTTAGGGTTTAGGGTTTTGGGTTCAGGGTTTCAATATTACACAGGAGGAAGGGCTTAGGGTTCGCGCTTGGCTTTGCAACCCTGAAACTGAACTCTGAGACCTCCGAGGTTCAGTGGTTAGGGCCTTTAGGGTTTAGGTTTAGGGTTGAGGGTTTAGGGTTGAGGGTTGAGGGTTTATGGTTTAATTAGGGTCCAGGGTTCAGGGTTCCAAAAGCCTCAAGCCCTAAGCCCCAAACCCTCAACCCCAAACCCCGAGACACGCTTGGGTCATACTTGGTGCTCAGCGTCCTAAGCTCTCCTACTATCCTTGGAGACGAGCTGAACCCCGAAACGGGCTTATGGTCCATGTACCCTAAGGCGGATTATAGTTGTGTAGGGTTTTGGGTTTTGGCTTAAGGTTTAGGATTTCGGGTGAACCTAGAGTTCGTTTGGTCGCTTCGATGCTGCTCAAACCTGAGGGTGTAGGGCTTAAGGAAAGGGTTTAGGGTTTCTAGGATGGCCCGTAAAACCCTCTGAAAAACTTTCTTGAATATGACCCTCTTTAACCCAATAATAAGGGAAATATCTATATATATATATATATATATATTATATCCCAGGGGCCTACTATAGGGGTCGGAATAATTCCTGATCGTATTCCTTATGGTTCCTTTATAACAATACTATAACAACCCTCAACACCCTAGTCTAAGTATTAAGGCCCCTATATTGCCTAGGTTGAGGGTTTGCAGTACTCTCGCAGGCGCGCGGCGCCTTGCCACCCTTGTCGGCTTTGTCGCCCTTGTCGGCCTTTTCGGCTTTGTCGCCCTTGTCGGCTTTGCCAGCCTGCATGGGCTTTGGGTTTAGGGTTTAGGGGTTTTGGTTTAGGCTTTAGGGCTTTGGGTCCGGGGTTTAGAGTTTGGGGTTTGCTGTGATAGAGCGGAGAAGCCGTGAAGGTTGGGATGCAGAGTAGGATAGAAAGCTTTGTAACTGGCGAACAGCAGCGACGGCACGATTGGGGAGGGCCATCCAACATCTTTCTCCCACCCCACGCCGTCCCAAACTGCATAACACCACCCTAACCTGTTCCATTTAGGTTTTAGCCATTTAGGCCTAAACTCACTTGCTTCCAACATCCTCCTGCCAGGAGCTGAGGGCGGTCTTAAGGGGATCCCGTCTAGAGTATTGCCAGCAATGAGCTGGTTCCGAGAAGATACTCCAGCACCGGCGCATCATTGCTACCGAGCGCCGCCCCTCACTGTAGGGTTTTGGTTAAGGGTTTAGGGTTTAGGGTTTCGGGTTTAGGGCTTAGGGCTTAGGGTTAAGGGTTTAGACACAAACCCCCGGCGTGCAGTCAACAGCCCCTCCACACCTTGGCATCGCCGTTCACTTTGGGGGAAGCGGCACCTGCTCAAAGCCAGTAGGCCCCAGGTCTTGGGTTTAGGGGTTTAGGGTTTAGGGGCGTAGGGTTTAGGGTTTAGGGGTTTTAGGGTTTAGGGCTTAGGGCTTAAGGGGATTGAAGGGTTTGGGGCTTAAGGGTTTGGGGTTTGCAACGGGGTTTAGGGCTTAGAGCTTGGGGTTTGGGGTGTCTGTGAGACAGACTGCTTAAGAGAGGACTGCTTGCAGGCATCACGTATACCCTCTACTGCGCCTGCGGCGGCCTCCTTCTCGGGCTTCTCGCCTCCAGAACTTGTATCGCAAAGCGGTGCCGAGAGCTTGCGAGCCTTGAACCCTAAACCCTAAACCCTAAACGCAAGTGTTTCATCTTGCAGATCCGAATGCAAGGTTCCAAGTATGGGCGTATGACCCAATACACCTCGCATAATTGGGGCCCAGACTTCGGATCCCTTTTAACAAGGGTAAGGGGCTGTGCTTAAGTGACCGTGGTGCGAACCTTAGACCGAAGCAGTTCGCCTAGATCTCAGGGCCCTGCTGAATTTTTTGAATGGGACCCTAAACCCTCAGCCCTAAGCCTTACTACTAAACCCTAAGCCCTCAACCCTAAACCCTAAACCCTAAACGCTCAACCCTAAACCCTAGACCCTAAACCCAAGAAAGGCCAACCCCAAAGCCCAACCCCAAACCTGGAGACGCAGGCCACGCGGAAGGCGCCCGGGCCTTTCTGTCCCGCTGCGCCTTGCAGCTTCGATGGGTCCACCTCCGTGGGTTCAGGGTTGAGGGTTTTAGGGTTTTACGGTTTCAGGGCTTGAGGGTTTGAGGGTTTTAGGGTTTTAGGGTTTTAGGGCTTTCGGGTTTTAGGGTTTTAGGGTTTTAGGGTTTTAGGGTTTAGGGTTTAGGGTTTAGGGGTTTAGGGTTGAGGGTTTAGGGTTTAGGGTTTAGGGTTTAGGGTTCAGGGTTTAATTCCGGGCTTGATGGGGTTTTGGGTTGGGGAGGTTTCAGGGGTCGTGGTCAGCTCTGCAAGCCATGGCACGTTCTGCCCCAAAAAAACCGGGGACCCAAGCCCCCAAATCCAGACCGAAACCCTAACCCTAAACCCTAAACCCTAAACCCTCAACCCTATACCCTGGAGCCCTTAAGCCCAACCGGCGCTGCAAGAAGAGAGTCGAGCAAACCCCTAACTTCCATTCAGCCCCTAAACCCTAAACCCTAAACCCTAAACCCTCAACCCTAAACCCCGAACCCCGAACCCCGAACCCTAAACCCTAAACCCTAAACCCTAAACCCTAAACCCTAAACCCTAAACCCTAAACCCTAAACCCTAACCCCGAAACCCTAACCCCTAAACCCTAAACCCTAAACCCTAAACCCTAAACCCTAAACCCTAAACCCTAAACCCTAAACCCTAAACCTTAAACCTAAACCCTAAACCCTAAACCCTAAACCCTAAACCCTAAACCCTAAACCCTAAACCCTAAACCCTAAACCCTAAACCCTAAACCCTAAACCCTAAACCCTGAACCCTGAACCCTAAACCCTAAACCCTAAACCCCAGCCTTGGATTTCATGCCCATGTCCTTGCTCTTGCCATCGGGGATCTTCACCAGGACCATCCTGCGGTTCAGGGGCTTCTTCCCTTTTTCGGGGGATTGGGGGTTCGGTGTTTAGGGTTTAGGGTTTAGGGTTTAGGGTTTAGGGTTTAGGGTTTAGGGTTTAGGGTTTAGGGTTTAGGGTTTAGGGTTCCCTTTTGCCGAGACTTCTCATAGAGATTCCGCTCCCATTCGCAGTGCCGTCGTCTGCTTGCAGGGGGCATGCTCTGACTCAAAAGCCCTGATAGGTGCCTTGTGTGGTAGATGTCCTTAGTTAACAGGTCCCGCTCCTTTCTTTCTCTTTGCTAGACTCAAGACCCTAAGCCCCCTACACCCCCAAAAAGAATCCGGATTTAGAACAAACCTTCCCACAGTCATGTCTGGCTGTGTGCTCCCCAGGTTTCGTGACATTCTTCGGTAGGTGGGTGGGTGGGTGAGTGGGTGGCCTAGGGTTTCAGGGTTAAGGTTGGGATGTTCCCCCTTATACTAACAGTCCTTTATGAGGATTATAGTACCCCATTGTGGACTGTTAGTATAAGGGGGGAAGATGTCCCAAGGTTAAGGGGTAGAGGTTTAGGGAGGACCGCCCTTGACACCGTAGTCCTAAGTTCACCCCGGAAGCCCTCGACAACCTCGAGCATCAGACGGGTCAGACGGGGCCCGGGCGGTTCTGACGGGGTCATGCCCTGGCCCGGCTGGAAGGCGGGCCGGTCCACGATGAAGTAGCCTCGACCTTCGGGAGCTTCTCGGAGCGGGAGTTGTAGGGCTTAGGTTGGGATGTTCCCCCTTGTACTAACAGTCCTTAACAGGGACTATAGTATCCCTATTGGAATCCCTGTTAAGGACTGGTAGTATAAGGGGGAACGTTTAGGGTTGAGGATTCGGTGCTTCAGGGTTTTTCGTAGACTGTTCCGGTGGGGTTTGGGGTTGAGGATCCAAGTTCAAGGTTTAGGGCTTCTTGTCGGCCTGGAGCCACCCACTTCCGAAAGGATCGATTGCCTGCAGGGTGTTAACCCCAGCATCCCTAAACCCCAAACGTCGTTTGTATGTGCTGAACCAAATGCTGAGCCCTCAACCCTAAACCCCAAAACCCCCCAACAAACACAAAGGCCCCGAACACACCCCTAAACCCCAAACCCTAAGCCCTAAGCCCTAAACCCCTAACCCCTAAACCCTAAACCCTAACAATCCCCCTAAACCCTAAACCGCACCCAGGGCCCCCCCACGCTCCAGCTGCATCATGGATCCCTTGGCCAGGCCCCGGAGGAGGGGGTCGCCGATGGCCTGGGGAAGAGTTTGGGGTTTAGGGTTTAGGGTTTAGGTTGAGGGTTTAGGGTTTAGGGTTTAGGGTTTAGGGTTTAGGGTTTAGGGTTTAGGGTTTAGGGTTTAGGGTTTAGGTTTAGGTTGGGGGGGGGTTAGGGTTTGGAGTTTAGGGTTGAGGGTTGAGGGTTTCGGCACTCCACGGCTACCAAACTCCCCAAGCCCTACAATCCTCAACCCCAACACCCTCAGCCGCTTAACCTCAAATCCTTTGACTGTAAAAGGGTGCCCCCGAACTTTTCTATACATCCTTCTCACAGGAACCCCCTCCTAAAGTCAACCCCAAACCCTAAACCCCAAACCCCAAACCCTAAACCCCAAACCCCAAACCCCAAACCCTAAACCCCAAACCCTAAGCCCTAAGCCCTAAACCCTAAACCCCAAACCGACTCCCCAAAGAGGCCCCCAAGCCTTGGTGTCCACCACGCTCTGCGGGTTGATGATGCCGTTGAGGTCGTCGTCGTCCTCCATCTTGGGCCTGGCATCGGAAACCCTCGGTTGGGGTTTAGGGTTTAGGGTTTAGGGTTTAGGGTTCAGGGTTTGGGGTTTGGGGTTTGAGGTTTGGGGTTTAGGATTTAGGGTTTAGGGCATTGACGGGCTTTCGGGTTTAGGGCTCAGAGCTTAGGGCTGTAGGCCCCCAAGCTCTGCCAGGGAACCGACCTTCCACGGCTTTTGGGACTTCTTCCTGTTGCATAAAGGCCTCCAAAACCCTATTTCAAAAAAAACAAAATAACATGAAAACCTACAACCACCTTTTACAAACATATTTTAAACCATATGAAAAACCAACAAAAAAGTTTTTAAGAAACAAACTTTTTACAAACATAATCGTTTCCCCCTAATATTAAACGGGGGATCCCCCCCCCAATAGAAATTCGAAACGTGTTTTTATTATTAGGGGGGGGGGGGGTTTTATCGAAATGCCATGTTCTAGACTCCAGATATACTCAAGTAATTAATCAAGTACTGAAGCGTGGTGTAAACTGAAAGAGAGAGACAGCATCATGCTGCGAAAAGCCTTGAGTCTGAAGCCTAAACCTTAATGAACCCGAAGCCCTAAACCCTAAAACCCTTAACCCTAATTAGACCCTAAACCCTCGTTGGCTTCAGGGTCTTAGGAGCCCTGAACCCCCCCCCCCCCCCCCCCCCTAATTCGGAATAGGCTTTAAAAGGCGGGCTCGGTTTCGGCAGGATTTTCCGGAAAGCATTTTTAGTATTAGGGGGGTCTTTAATGAAAGGGGGAAGTGATTATTATCAACCATATGAAAAACCAACAAAAAAGTTTTAAGAAACAAACTCCAACAACAAAAGAGAACAACCAACCCAATCCTGAAGCACCAACTCTTCCCCAAACTCCAGGGGACCCTCATCCCGGGATCCGGAACCCAACCTTCTAGGGATTGAATCCGTAAACAGTAAACCCTAAACCCTAAACCCTGAACCCTAAACCCAAAACCCTAAACCCTAAACCCTAAACTCTAAACCCTAAACCCTAAACCCTAAACCCTAAACCCTAAACCCTAAAGCCTGCCGACAAAGCTTGGGCCCCCCGGCTTGGTCACAAGATGGTCGAACTCACGGAGGACGAGGTGGGTGACCTGCAACGGGCGGTCAGTGACTGTAGGGTTTAGGGTTTAGGGTTTAGGGTTTAGGGTTTAGGGTTTAGGGTTTAGGGTTTAGGGTTTAGGGTTTAGGGTTTAGGGTTTAGGGTTTAGGGTTGGGTTTAGGGTTTAGGGTGATCCAAGTACCGTCACCCTAAGCCCGGAGCACCGAAACCCTCACCCAAGCCGCCTGCTCATCAAGCTTCGGCACCTCGGCTTGAAGGAAGTGACGGCGAAACTGACATCTCATAGGACTCTTAAGGGAGGGGGTTCGGGGGTGTGTAGGGTTCAGGGTTTAGGGTTCAGGGTTCAGGGTTCAGAGTTCAGGGTTTAGGGTTCAAGGGGGGTATGTAACTCAAGGCTCCCTAACACTCCCTACTACTCCCTAAGGCTCCCTAAGCTTCCCTAAGGTTCCCTAGGTACCTACCCCCCCATGAACCCCCCCCTCCCCAAAGAACCCCTAGTTTTATCCCTGTTCAGGACTGTTAGTATAAGGGGAAACATCCCAAGTTTCGGGCTTAGAGTTGAGTGTTTTCCGGATGCCCTACCCTTACGTATAATGAGTATGCTAGATGAGGATTTGTGTTGAAACAAAATCTGCAAGACGACCCATGATCGAGATACCCCCACACACACACACATTCTTCTGTCCTCGCATCTTGTTACCCTGAACCCTGGGGACCCGACCCAGTGGATCTTCTTCTTTGTGTCCTTGACATTGCCTAGGTTCCAGGTAATGTAGGCAGACTGGGGGGGGCGGGGGGGTGGTGGGGTTGTACGGGAAACCCAACCCTAAAAAGGGATACCACTGGGATCCCAGATGCCCTCCAGATTCAGCCTTCCCACGAGCTCTGTCACTTTGCCGCTCCTTGGCACATTCGACATAAATGCCGTGTCATGGGCGCGCACTCAGTAAAGCATCGGCGGACTTGCGATGGGCTCAGTCTGAGCTAGAAGCTTGTCGCGAGTGATCTTGTCCTCAATTTCGCAACATGTGCACTGTATCCAGCGTATTTACGTCTTCGGGCGCATGGAGTTTAGAATTTGACGCTTCCGTTTAGGGTTTAGGGTTTAGAGCTTGATTAGGGTTTAGGGATCAGGGCCTTAGGGTTGGGACGTTCCCCCTTACACTAACAGTCCTTAATCGGGATTCTCGTACCCCTACCATAATCCCCGATTAAGGACTGTTAGTATAAGGGGACCCTAAACCCTAAACCCTAAACCCTAAACCCCTAAACCCCTAAACCCCAAACCCCAAACCCTAAACCCTAAACCCTAAACCCTAAACCCTACGTGGGGTTCAGGGACCCTGGGCTTGCAGTGCCAGCCGAAGTCTCCACGAAGGCGTTGCCCCAGTGGAGCAGCGTGACCTGCTCGCCGGTCTCGATGGCCTGCGCATCCTCGTGGAGCCCCTTTGTGGGGTTTAGGGTTTAGGGTTTAGGGTTTAGGGTTTAGGGTTTAGGGTTTAGGGTTTAGGGGTATAGGGTTTAGGGTAAAACCCTAAACCCCTCAAACGCTCCAGTTCTAAGAGACGCCTACATATCAAGACCCTTGTGATTCTCCCCCTAGGAATTGGGGTTCTTTACAGTCTAGGGTTTAGGGTTTAGGGTTGGGGGGGTGGACGGGAGGGGTTGGGCAAGTCGACGTGCTTCTACTATTTGCTTCAGAAGCCCCCAAAACTAAAAATATTCTTTCCTTATAGGGGTAATAGAGGGATTATGATCTCTTACATTTGGGGGATTCTTAAGCAAATGGTAGGTTTTGGGCGTTGGGGGGAGGGGAGGCTTTGAGGTTCGCAGGGTTTATCGTGCTCGTAGGGTTTGTGGGGTTTGTAGGGCTTTATGAGGTTTGTGGGTTTATAGTTTCAGATTGTAGGGTTTGTAGGGTGTGTGGGGTTTGCAGGGTTTTAGAAGGTTTGTAGTATAGGGTTTATGGGGTTTATCAGGTTTCGCGGAGGGTCCAGGGTTCTACGTCGACACCCCTAAACCCTAAATCCTAAACCCTAAGCCCTAGACACTCCCTAAGTGCCAAGCCCCTGTCCTCCTGCTCAATGTAGATGTCCTTGCTATGTATGAGTAATCTCTCGCCGATCTCGTCATTCTTGGGATGCTTCCTCGGCAACGAGGATCGAGATGGCCGACTCGCAGAAGAACTAAAACCCTAAACGCTAAACCCTACACCCTAAACCCTAAAGCGCAGGGGCCCTGGCTTTTCCATCTTGGAGGTAGGCTGTGCAGGACCGTCGAGCTTCAGCCAGGCCTAGCCCAACACGGAGACCGAACTTCATGTGGGGGTTAGGGTTTAGGGCTAATCCACGACTGAACATGAAGCCTCAAGCCCTATGCCCTTCAACCTAGCAGACCCCTAAGCGGGGGTTGATCTGATTACGGGCACCTCTTTTGGCATCCAAAACTACAAAAGATGTACCATAACAGATACCCCCCAAGAGGGCCCATGATTTGGATCAACCCCCCAGTCCCTACCATCTGCGGCCCTGACTGCATCCTCGGCGACCGCAGGGTAACGAGGAACGATTGGGTCGATCCTGGTGTTCAGGACTGTTGACCAGCAACTGCCCCCAAGCCCTCGTCAAGCCCCAGAACCCTGAACCGAGCATCCCCCACAACCCAAACCTCCTACTGCAGGCCAAGCGCCCGAGAATCCTGCGAAGAGGCCAACCACGAGCCCTTTAACCCCACAAAGCCGGTAACCCCCTATGTGCTTGCTCCCTAAACGCCGAACCCTCAAACCGAGATTCTTAGGGTCGTTACATTGTAACTTAGTATGGGTCCGTTTATACCCCTTGTAAACCCTGTACAACCCAGAGCCGATAGAAATACCCTGAAAGAGATGAACCCCGGGTTTCACTACCCAGACCCGAATAATAAACCCTAAACCCTATATAAACCCTAAACCCTAAACCCTATCATACTAAACCCTCAACCCTAAACCCCAAACCCCAAACCCCAAACCCTCAACCCTCAACCCTCAACCCTCAACCCTCAAGCCTCAACCCTCAACCCTCAACCCTGAACCCTGAACCCTGAACCCTGAACCCTGAACCCTGAACCCTGAACCCTGAACCCTGAACCCTGAACCCTGAACCCTGAACCCTACCTAACCCCTAAACCCTAGGTACCAAGCCCCCAGCTTCTGTTTGTTGATGGCCCAGATCTTGTCCCACTCCATCATGTTCGTCGCCTTCAGGGCAAAGGGGAACACGGAGGGTCTGAGTTGTTTAAGGGGGGACCCTAGACCTAGCCCCACCCTAAACCCTAAACCCTAAACCCTAGGCCCTAAACCCTAAACCCCTCGGGTAGTATAGACAGGGGTAGTAGGGAAACCCATGAGCTCGGGGGCTTAGGGGCCTGAGCGATCAACTGAGCCCTGAAGCAGGAAAACCTAACTTCCTGCTCAAAACGCAAGGTTTTGGGCCCTACTTGCCGGATTCCCTAAACCCTAAACCTCTCTTTCATATGTATATAAACCCTAATGGCTTGGCCGGCAATTGTCAAAAAGTTGGCCGGCAATTGTCAAAAGTTGGCCGGCAATTGTCAAAAGTTGGCCGGCAATTGTTTTTTTGCACTTGCCGGCCAACTTACGACACTTTTGCAATTGCCGGCCAACTTTTGACAATTGCCGGCCAACTTTTTGACAATTTCACGGGCCGGAACTGTCGAAAGTTGGCCGGCAATTGTCAAAGCTTGGCCGGCAATTGTCAAAACTTGGCCGGCAATTGTCAAAACTTGGCCGGCAATTGTCAAAACTTGGCCGGCAATTGTCAAAACTTGGCCGGCAATTGTCAAAACTTGGCCGGCAATTGTCAAAAACTTGGCCGGCAATTGTCAAACTTGGCCGGCAATTGTAAAAATCACCCCCCTTCAGGGCCTGTGTTTAGGGTTTCAGGGCCCAGCGTTTACGGTTTCAAGGTTTCAGGGCCGGTGTTTAGGGATTCAGGGCCCAGCGTTTGGGGTTTCAAGGCCTCAGGGCTTGTGTTTAGGGTTTCAGGGCCCAGCGTTTAGGGTTTCAAGGCCTCAAGGCCTCAGGGCCTGTGTTTAGGGTTTCAGGGCCCAGGGTTTAGGGTTTCCAGGCTTCAGGGCCTGTGTTTAGGGTTTCAAGGCCTCAGGGCCTGTGTTTAGGGTTTCAGGGCCCAGCATTTCTCAGGGCCCATAGGGTTTCAAGGCCAGTGCCTGTTTTTAGGGTTTCAGGGCCCAGCGTTTAGGGTTTCAAGGCCGCAAGGCTCAGTTCCCAGCGTTTAGGGTTTCAAGGCCCCTGCGTTTAGGGTTTCAGGGCCCAGCGTTTAGGGTTTCAAGGCCTCATCAGGGCCTGTGTTTAGGGCCAATATGTAGGGTTTCAAGGTGCTTTTGAGGTTTCAGGGCCCAGCGTTTAGGGTTTCAAGGGCCTCAGGGCCCAGCGTTTAGGGTTTCAAGGCCTCAGGGCCTGTTTTTAGGGTTCCAGGGCCTCAAGGCCTGGGGTTTAGGGTTTCAGGGCAAGGCGGGCCCAGCGTTTAGGGGCTTCCGGGCCTGTGTTTAGGGTTTCAGGGCCTAGCATTTAGGGTTGATTTAGGGTTCCAGGCCTCAGGAGGGTTAGGGAGGGTTTTACCACTTACGACGGTTCTGCTTAGTGGTGCGTTTGGGGCCTGGTTAAAAAATTGAAAACTGAAATATTTTTCTAATGTTATGGGATCCAAATGGTGGGTGGGTAGATTTTCAGTACCAGAGTAGCGAGCTTGACTAGTGGGCTTGAGATGCTGAACCCTAAACCCTAAACCCTAAACCCTAAACCCTAAACCCTAAACCCTAAACCCTCCTCACCTTGGACATGCCCTGCGTCAGCACGAAGTCTTTCAGTGCATCCACCGTCATCCCACGGCGCATCACCCCCTGAACCTGAGGGGGATCAGGGTCTCAGGGTTTAGGGTTCAGGGTTCAGGGTTCAGGGTTCAGGGTTCAGGGTTTAGGGTTTAGGGTTTAGGGTTTAGGGTTTAGGGTTTAGGGTTTAGGGTTCAAGGTTCAGGGTTCATTGTTTAGGGTTTAGGATTTCGGGTTCAGGGCGGGGGTTTGGGGTGTTTTGGAGCTTTCGGGTTGCAGGATGATGTAGAGGCTCCGGCTCCTAAGCCCAAGCCAGAAAAAATAAGCCCATAGCCCATGGCCCATGGTGCAGCTACAACACCCAAAACCCAAACCCTAGCCACCCTACGCCCATCCTAAGCCCTAATCTCCCTCGTAACCCTAAAGCCCATCCACCCTAAACCCTGAATCCTAGTTCCTAATCCCTGATCTAGGCCTCATCAACCTAAACCCTTATCATTATCCTTAAGCCGTAATTAAACCCTCATCACCCTGAATTATCACCATAAACCCTCATCCCTAAACCCTAAACCCTGAACCCTGAACCCTGAACCCTAAACCCGAAACCCGAAACCCTCGGGCTGCTGGCAGTGGGGAAGCGAGGGTCGTCCCAGCCTTCGACCTTCTCGAGACAGGTTTTAGGGTTTAGGGCTTAGGGTTAAAGTTTGGGTTTCGGGTTTAAGGTTTAGGGTTTACGGCCAGGTTTTAGGGGTTTTAGGGCGAGGAGCATCCCCAATCCCTTTCTCGTGTTGTTGGCGTTTTCCGGCGGGGGGGCCGGTGCGGAGCATCCGAAACAGCTGCCACCAAACGCAGTCTTCACGAAGCCCATATTGGCGAATTTTGCCGAAAAAGCTGCTCCAAGTGCCCCAAGTCTTGCGCTCTAAGAACACAAAGGCACAAACAAAAAACCTTCCCCAACACCCCTTCGTATGAAACACTGGCAGCCGTGGCACTTTCCATTACGTGCAAAGCAGCCTTGGGCAAATTACCACCGCGTGACCTTGTAGGGGTTTGAGGTCAAACAGTTTGGGAGTTGAAGGCTCCCCTAAACCCCCAAAATCCGATTAATTTGGAGCCTTAGCACTACGCCGGAACGCCCGTGAGAACCCTTAAAAACCCTAAACCCTAACTAAACCCTAAACCCTAAACCCTAAACCCTAAACCCTAAGCCCTAAGCCCTAAGCCCTAAGCCCTAAGCCCTAAGCCCTAAGCCCTAAGCCCTAAGCCCTAAGCCCTAAGCCCTAAGCCCTAAGCCCTAAACCCTAAACCCTAAACCCTAAACCCTAAACCCTAAACCCTGAACCCTAACCCACAAAATGAGGAAGGCTAGGGTCGACACGTAGCCATTGTCCACGAACCAGGTGAGCTTCCGCTTCGATAGGATGGTGTAGGAGAACTGCGTCTTTGCCTTCGAACTCATGGATCGTCTCGAAGGAGCTTTAAGAGGGTTTAGGGTTTAGGGTTTAGATTTAGGGTTTAGGGTTTAGGGTTTAGGGTTTAGGGTTTAGGGTTTAGGGTTTAGAGTTTAGATTTAGGGTTTCGGGTTTAGGGTGAGGATGCTTGTTGGGGCAACCCCCTGCTGGGCTCCCGGCAAACTCCACCATCTCAACGTGGCGGGAGCCAGTGGCTTCGAGCACCCAACTGGGCAGAACAACCCTAAACCCTAAACCCTGAACTCTAAACCATAAACCCTAAACCCTAAACCCTAAACCCTAAACCCTAAACCCCCCCGAGTAGTTCGGTCCCATGGTTCTTCTAGCACGGACTGAGGGAATTAGGGCCCTGTATCTACCCTTCCAAGGTTACCATAGGGTACCTCATTCCCTCATTCCCTACTAAGACCCAGCCAGTCGGTCCTGTGTAAGGTTTTGAGGTGCAGCGTGTGGCTTCGCTTCTGAACCCAGGGATTGAGCCGCGGACTCGTACATTGGGGCACGATCCCTGTATTCGATCGTTCGGAGAGCATGGGTGACGCCCTGTCATTTGCATCGACATCAACTTGAAGCAGCACGAGAAGTCAGACAGACCGTGGTGCCTCAAGTGCGTCGACCACTGGGCAGGCGAAGTCGTAGGTTGGGTAAGCCTCCACCAGGAGGGCGGGGTTGCAGACCAGGAGGGAGGAAACTCTCACTGTTGAAGCAGCACAAAAAGGAACCTTGTACTTGAATCCGTGCTTGTGATGGGGCCTCAATCACGCAAACTCTCCAAGGAAGCCACAACTGAGTCACAACTGGGCTTAGGGTTTTTAGGGGTCCTAAACAACCACATACACATAAGGATCCGACAAACAGGATTTTTCGGAATCCCCCTTTTAGGGGGCCCTTATACCCCACTAGTAGGATCCTTATGTTTATCTGGCTTTTTGAGCCCCTGATTTAGGGTGTAGGGCTGAGTTGCCCCGCGTGTCCGTCTTGCAGCGATAGAAGACTGGATCGCGCAGGCATTTGTTCGCACACTGCATGTCCTGGCAACGGCCCCCAAAATCTTGGCGAGACCCAAGACTACCCTAGGAAAAATAGGGCGCTCTTTTTGGTGTACAGGAGCTTATAAGGGAGCCCAAACACTACAAGAGGGAAGAAGGGCCTAACCCGAAACCCTAAACCCTAAACCCTAAACCCTAAACCCTAAACCCTAAACCCTAAACACTAAACCCTAAACCCTAAACCCTAAACCCTAACCCTACTGTGGGTGCTTTGTCTGTGATCTCTGCTTGGGATTTAGCACCGCAAAAGAATAACTCAGCACCAGGACACAAAGAGGACCTGGCACGCGCTGGCATCCAGAAGCCAGAGGGGTTTAGGGTTTAGGGCTTAGGGTTTAGGGTTTGGGGTTTCGGGTTTAGGGTTTAGAGTGCCGAACTAAACCCTACATTCGGGTCAGACTCCTGAGCTCTACATCCTACACCCCCAACTAAACCCTAAATCCAACTTAGACCCTGAACCCTGACAAAACCCGACCCCCAAAACATGCCGAGAGCACCATCCTCCCCCGGACGCACATCTTCAGCCCCTCCTCGGAGCCTCAGGAGGCAGAGAGCTGGGATTCCACGCAAAACAGCCTGGGGATCGCCCTGTGCTGTCACAAGCCTTTCCTAGGATGGCCCTTCAACCCCTCTGAAAAATATTCCTGAATATGACCCTCTTAAACCCAATAAGGGGAAATATAAAATGTCCCAAGGGTCTACCTAGTTTCCTATGAGAGGCCGATGTGCTGGCAAGCTCAAGAAGCTTGCATGTTGGCACATCGCAGCACATCACATCACTGCCCATGCGAGGAAGGCAATTCGTGAACATCGGACTCCCTTGAGGAGTCAAGGATGGAGGAGATGAGGAAAGGGCATCAAGCAGTCAATGCGGTGGGCTCTTGGCAATCGCTTGCTCTGTCACAAGCCTTCCGATTATGTTGGCAAGCAAACAACGCATTTCAAAGAAGTGCATTTCAATCAAGTGCATTTTGGCACATCGCAGCACATCACATCACTGCCAACGCGAGGAAGGCAATTCATGAACACATCTTCTTCGGACTCACTTGAGGAGTCAAGGATGGAGAAAAGGGCATCAAACAATCAATGCGTTTGGCTCTTTAAATGGCTTGTATTTATTTTCAACGTTCACTCATTTGGCTCTTGTACACACCTTCCCATCACAAGAAAAAGAACTGGAGTTGTCGTCGAAGATTATGTTACCATCCGGTTCCTCAAGCAGATCAATCACCACCTGTGGGTTCTAGGATCGGACCTCCTTCGTTGGGATAACCCCAGGTGACCACGGTGCCGTGAGGCTTCTTGGCAGCGAACGCATGACGATTCGCATAGACCACATCAACTGCGTCAGCCAATCGATAGTCGAACTCTCCCCAAGACGCCACGGTGCCTTCAAACTTCTTGGCGGCAAAATTTCGCCCACGGGCGTGGCAATAGATGACCTCCACTCCAGTTAGGTCGCTGGCCACACCGGAGGAGTCCCCGCCCCTGTTGCTGTCACCCCAGGTCACCACGGTGCCGTCCGTCTTCCTGGCAGCGAACGCATATGCATTTGCACAGATGGCATCGACAGACACCAGCTGAGCCGCCACGGTTGATGAGTCCCCGCCGTAAAAGAGGTTTTTTTCAGGTCACGACTGTGCCATCGTGCTTCAGGGCAGCGAAGGCTTCTTCTGTGTGGTACATCCAAGCAACCGAAGTGAGTTGGCTCGCCACAGAGGAGTCCCCGCCAAAGTCGGGGGAGCCCCAGGTGACGACGGTTTCGTCGTCCTTCCTGATAGCGAAGGTTTTCCATATTGGCGAATATGTCCGTTCAATCTGCTGCTGCAACTGATGCGGAAATGTGTGGAACAAATTTGCGCCTTTAAGAGCCTTCAATGTTCGGCATCTTCTTGCATACCATCCCTCATGCTCGGCAGGCCATGACACGGGGGCCCATATACGCCGTTCGACGGCTGTCACGACCCATGCATACTTTGGTGAGCAGGTCATGAGTACTTGAAGTCTCTCACCCTAAACCCTAAACCCTATACTCGAAACCCTAAACCCTAAACCCCAAAACCTAAGGCGGCGGCCCTTCAGCATCTCTCCGAAACGCCGGAGGTTCTCCTCAACGGGCCTCAGCTTCGATGCTTCGATCAAGGGATCCAGCTGGCTGTGTAGGGGACCTAAGGGCACGGGGTTTAGGGTTTAGGGTTTAGGGTTTAGGGTTTAAGTTTAGGGTTTAGGGTTTAGGGTTTAGGGTTTAGGGTTTAGGGTTTAGGGTTTAGGGTTTAGGGTTTAGGGTTTAGGGTTTAGGGTTTAGGGTTTAGGGGTTTAGGGTTTAGGGGTTTAGGGGTTTAGGGTTTTAGGGGTTTACGGTTTAGGGGTTCAAAGGTTTGAGTGCTTAGGGTTAGTTGATATTTGTGCGGGGGGTCCCAACAAAAGTGCTGGGACGGAACGTCTTGACCGAAAGTTTTGGGTGGGCTTCTTTCTTCGATCTGGGGCGAAGGTCCTGGGCGGGCGAGAATCCTTTTCCCCCTATAAACCCTATAAACCCTATAAACCCTATAAACCCTATAAACCCTATAAACCCTAAAAACCCTAAAAACCCTAAAAACCCTAAAAACCCTAAAAACCCTAAAAACCCTAAAAACCCTAAACCCTAAACCCTAAACCGCATTAAGGAAGATTAAGGATTATCATTCTTGGAAAAAGTTTCGGGCTCCAAAGATCTTTGGGAGGCTTTTGTTGGGTGAAGGTCCTTGCGGGCGAAGGGCTTCTATTAGGATTCGGACCAGAGCTTGGGGGTTTTGCCTTCAGCTAGGGTTGAGGATTTGCGGGTTGATCTAACATGAGACACCCTTGATGGTAATCAAAACGATACGATGCGTACTGCAATAGGGTTTAGGGTTTAGGGTTTAGGGTTTACGGTTTAGGGTTTAGGGTTTAGGGAGGTGCCCACAAAAGGGCAGCGCATGGCCAGCCCTGTAGTATGAGGCTGCTTCTCTCCTCCGTGGCGACAGTGTTAAAGGGGACAAGGAGGGACCCCCAGAAGGGGCCCTTCATCCCAACTCCCCCAATATAACCCCATCTCATAATCCCTATATATAGCCCCTATGTATACCTTGTATAATCCCGATGTACCTAAGTAGACCCTAAGTAACCCTCCGGCCCTATTTAGAAAGGGTCCCTCCTTTAGTCCCTTGACAGTGAACTCAAGGATGTGGGAGGGGAGGGATGGGTTCTAAGTCACTCGGCTGGCCCCTGAAACGAAAAAACTCTTCAAAAAAGATTCCCCAATCAAATTTTCAGTTTTAGGGTTTAAGGTTTAGGGTCCCATCCCCCCCTAAACCCTAAACCTTAATCCCCTAACCCCTAAGCCCTAAACCCCAGACCCTAGTCGGGGTTGCCTTTGTTGGGCCTGGCTTGCACCTGAGGCTTCGACAGGTCTCTGCACTTGCTGCAGGTGCCCTTATCCCGCTCATTCCTGGTTTAGGGTTTATAGGGTTTAGGGTTGGGTGTAGGGTTTAGGGTTTAGGGGTTTAGGAGTTTAGGGGTTCAGGGTTTAGGGGTTTAGGGGTTTAGGGGTTTAGGGGTTTAGGGGTTTAGGGGTTTAGGGGTTTAGGGGTTTAGGGGTTTAGGGGTTTAGGTTTAGGGGTTTAGGGGTTTAGGGGTTTAGGGGTTTAGGGGTTTAGGGGTTTAGGGGTTTAGGGGTTTAGGGGTTTAGGGGTTTAGGGTTTGGGGTTTCGGGGTTTGGGAGTTCAGGCTTTGGGGGTTTCGGGGTTTAGGGTTTAGGGGTTCAGGGGTTCAGGGGTTCAGCGGTGCAGGGGTTAGGGTTTAGGGTTTAGGGACTCCCAACCCGGACTCTTGACTTCTCTGGGTTTAGGGGTTTAGGGGTTCAGGGTTTAGGGGTTTAGGGGTTTTAGGGCTAAGGGTTTGGGGTTTAGGGTTAAGGGTTTGGGGTTTAGGGGTTTAGGGTTTAGGGTTTAGGGGTTTAGGGCTTAGGGTGTGGGGTTTGGAGTTTAGGGCTGCAAAGTTGGGACCAGTATGCGGAGAATGCGAAGACGGTTAAGGCAGTACTAGTATCCACTCGAATGGTACTGATGCCTAAACCCTATTCCTTATAAATCCTAAATCCTATACGAAACCCGAAGCCCTAAACCCTAGACCCTAAATAAACCTTAAACCCCAAGCACGAAAAGAAGCACAACGCCGGGGGGGGGGCGGGGGGCGGGGGCGGGTGGCCTCATGGTCTCCACATCTGTGTCATCCACGTAGGCTTTTCCCTTCTTGATGAGATCCTGTGGCGTGCTCCGGAGCTCAAACCCTTCCGCAATAAGGTTTCGGAATACTCGACCCAAGAGCAACCAAGGAATGAAAAGGGTGCCCCTTTTTTTGGCTTAACGGGGCATAATAAGGGAGCCTATACCCTAAGAGAAGGGAACAAGGGCGTACTCTGAGCCCCAGTAAACCCCAAGCCCTAACTCTAAAAACAGGGAATAAGGGTCTACGCTGGGTGCTAGAATATGCTGATGACCATCTGTGCCAACTTTTGGGGGATGGACCAGGGCTTAGGGTTTAGGTTCCGGGGTCAGGGTTCAGGGTTTAGGGTTTAGGGCTTAGGGTTTAGGGTTCAGGGTTGAGGGTTGAGGGTTGAGGGTTGAGGGTTGAGGGTTTTGGGTTTAGGGTTTAGGGCTTAGCACGGCCAACGAACCACGTCGGTTCCATGGTAGCGTGGAAAAGCCCATTCCTAGCCACCTCTTGCACATCGATGCTGTTTAGCCGAAGAGGCGTTGAAGAAACTTCACCTAAACCCTAAACCCTAACCCTAAACCCTAAGCCCTAAGCCCTAAACCCTAAACCCCAAACCCGAAACCTCTAAACCCTAAACCCTAAACCCTAAACCTTTAAACCCTAAACCCTAAACCCTATCGCGTGGAACATCAACATGGCCGAAAGTAGAAGCTCCGCTTCGACTACTAGTTTATGCGGCCTCGCGCATTACGCAAAGTGCATATGTTTCGTGCTTTGGGGTTTATTGGGTTTAGGGTTTAGGGTTTTAGGTGTTTTTTGAGTTGTTTAGGGTTTTTTAGGGTTTAGGGTTTGGGGTTTAGGGTTTAGGGTTTAGGGTTTAGGGTTTAGGGTTTAGGGTTTAGGGTTAACCAAAGCTCGCCAGAATCCCTAACACGGGCCACAGTTTAGGCCAAGCCCTTGTGTACTGTGTATATCCTACACGTCATGTAGTGCGTATAGCTGAACCGCATCCTTGAGTAAGACAGAAGACCCAGAAACCCTAAACCCTAAACCCTAAACCCGAAACCCGAAACCCTAAACCCCCTAAACCCTAAACCTGAAACCCTAAACCCTAAACCCTAAACACTTTTCTTAGACCACTGTGGCAGTTGGCTTTCCCCAAGTTGCCGCGCTTGGGGCATGGCTCAGGGTCTGGGGCTAACGGTTTAGGATGCAACCCCACGTACGGCCCCCGAAACTCTGAACCAAACCCTAAACCCTAAACCCTAAACCCTCAAAGTGTCCCGACGTCCTCCATGGCAGTTTGCAGCTGCTCAAAGTAGTCGGACGTGTGGCTGACCATGTCTGGCTTGATCTGCCTGGTGGCGATGTTGCGGTTTAGGGTTAGGGTTTAGGGTTTAGGGCTTAGGGCTTAGGGCTTAGGGCTTAGGGCTTAGGGCTTAGGGCTTAGGGCTTAGGGCTTAGGGCTTAGGGCTTAGGGCTTAGGGCTTAGGGCTCAGGGTCAAGGGTTTAGGGTTTCGGGTTTAGTGTTCTCATCTTCGGGCATTTTGGGGATGTGGGCTTTAGAAGGTTTAGGGTTGAGGGGGCTTCGGGCTGAGGCTAGTTTTTTCTTGTTTCTTCCTTGGTTTTGGGCGGAGGGTTAGGGTTAGCCCTAACCCTAAACCCTAAACCCTAAACCCCAAACCCTAAAGCGGCGATCTAAGCTGTCCCACGACCCTGGTCAACCTGAGCGAGCTTCATAACGCGCGGGGCAGTCTAAGGACCCCGCAGTGTCGCCAGGTCCTCGCACATCAATGCTTGGTAGCCCAGAACCATATTATTGCCAAATGATGGCTCGGGTTTAGGGCTTAGGGCTTAGGGCTTAGGGCTTAGGGCTTAGGGCTTAGGGCTTAGGGCTTAGGGCTTAGGGTTTAGGGTTTAGGGTTGGTTACTTTGGTTACTTTATCGGGGAACCTTGAACCCAAAGAAGACGTGGAAAAGGGTACCACTGCCAGGCCCCCCCCAAAACAAAAAAAAGCATGACTGTGTCGAAATGCACACTGTCGAACCTGACAAATATAGGGGCCTTAATTTTTTTTTGTGGGGGGGGGGGGGGGGTGATTCTAGTATAACTATAGAGTGACCATCGGGCAAGAGTATTAGTATTTTGCGGGTTATCATAGTATTATCATGCAACGACCATAAGGAAATACCAGAAGTATTTATTCCGACCCCTGTGTTAAATGCCCCCTAAACCCTAAACCCCTAAACCCTAAACCCTAAACCCTCAAGCCCCCTGTAACTTGAAATTATGAAGAAAAATCCAAAACAAAAACTCCTCGAAACTTCCCCGGACCTGAACCCTTAAAAATTTCAATAAACCCTAAACCCTAAACCCTAAACCCTAAACCCTAAACCCTAAACCCTAAACCCTAAACCCTCTTTTCTCCACATATGGACACCAAGCTTTCAGCCGAAGGGGCTCCCGGACTCGCATCAGTGGAAGGTCATCATCTCAATGGGTAGGTGTCCAACATCTGCAAAGCGCGCCAATCCGACGCGCCTCAGGGTTCATATAAGGTTTAGGGTTTGGGGTTTGGGGTTTGGGGTTTAGGGTTTAGGGTTTAGGGTTTAGGGTTTAGGGTTTAGGGTTTAGGGTTTAGGGTTTAGGGTTTAGGGGTTGAGCAGGATCCTTGTGGTTCATGTGGTTTTGGGGCCTAAGTTAAAGGGACGCTAGGTAGAGCCAAGTTGCCCATTGGGGTGGATAATGATCCTCAGATCATCGAACCTATGCCCTAAACCCTATAACCCCCTAACCCTAAACCCTAAACCCTAACCCTAAACCCTAAACCCTAAACCCCTAACCCTAAACCCTAAACCCTAAACCCCTAAGCCCTGAAGGAACTGCCACCCGCTGAGGTTCTCTCCAACATCTCTCCGGTTGGGGCGTTGGCTCAACGAAATTGAACCGCAGACGGGCAGGCACGAAGGGAGCGAACCATGGTACAAACCGTCCGTCAATGGAGCTGAAGCGGACGGGCAGGAGGGAAACACCGCCGCTGGCGCAAACTGGCTGAAAATGCCGGGCAGAACAACGAACTGAAGCCAGCACCGCCTACCCGCCCGAATTTCAAAAAACGCAACACACTTCTCGCAGCATGCTGACACCTTCACCAGCGAGCCCTTGCAGGTCAGGCTACAAGTCAAGCGTCTGGATGTTTGTAGAGTTTGGGAAGGTCCGTTTATGTTCTCAGCTGCTGGGAGAGTGTAGCCTTAGGCTCTTGGCGGTGTCCTTCAGAAGCTTTTCGCTGAAGGTGCAATATCGAAAAGACACACCCTGGACCATGTGGGATGTAAGTGCAGGTGGCAATATAGGGTCGGAATAAGCACTAATTGTATTCCCTTATGTATGGTCCCTATATAACTATACTATAATAACCCCCCCCCCCCCCCCCCCCCCCCCCCCCCCCCCCCCCCCTCCAAAAAAAAAAAAAATCCAATTGTTCAGGCCTCGATACTAGCCAAAGCTCTGCTGGGGGCCCCCAATCTCCAGCAGACTCCGCTGAGCGTTTAGGGTTTAGGGTTTAGTGTTAAGGGTTAAGGGTTTAGGGTTCAGGGTTAAGGGTTTAGGGCTTCATTGCGAGGATCTCATAGGGTTCAGGGTTAGGGTTTAGGGTCTTAAGCCCTAAGCCCTAAGCCCTAAGCCCCAAGCCCCAAGAACTAAACCCTAAACCCTAAACCTAAACCCCAAACCCTAGACCCTAAACCCTAAACCCTGAACCCTAAACCCTGAACCCTGAACCCTGAACCCTGAACCCTACTCTCTTGCGGCCGGGTGTCTCAGTGACGCCCGTGTTGTCACCCCTCAGGCGCAGCCAGGCTTCTGGAGGAAGCTGCAAGGCCCTCATCACCTCTCATCACTTTTAGGGTTTAGGGTTTAGGGTTTAGGGGTAGGCCAGTAGCCATATTAACACAAGGGCACTCTTTTGGGGTTGGTTACTTTGTAAGGGAGCCTTGTTCCAATAAAAAAGTGAAAAGGAGACCACTGGGCTACGAAGACCTTCACAGCCTCTCTACGCGTTTACCTAGACCCAGGAGTAACCTAGGAATAAAACGGGTGCCCCTTTTGGTTTTAAGGGGATGAGAAAGGAACCCCTACCCTAGAAAATGAAATAAGGGCCCGCTCCGGGTCCCAGTCTACGTGTTTACGCTTCAGTTGTGAGCACGTCAGGAGCAGCTTGAGGCAAGCTGCGAAGTAGCGGATCACGTTCATGTGGCAAACCTCAGAGGTCTAGGGTTTAGGGTTTAAGATTTAGGGCAAATTTAGGGTTTAGGGTTTAGGGTTTAGGGTTTAGGGGAGTCGGCAAGAAGCTGGCTGCCGTCAGGGGACGTAGATTTCATAGACATGCTCTGGCTCCTTGGGACTCTCCGAGGCGTCCTGGTTCGTTTCCAGGGACGGCACGTATCCTGTCGGAATGGCTCAGGTTCCGGTTCACCCTAAACCCTGACCCTAAACCCCAAACCCTAATAAACCCTAAACCCTAAACCCTAGACCCTAAACCCGAAACTGAACCCTCAACCCCAAACCGCAGTATTGGCGGGTCGTCCTTCGCCCAACTCCTTCTTGAGCGCTTTGTCTCTCTTCGCCTGCTTCTCGGCCAGTCGCTTGTGATCAACGTCCCGGTGGACGAACCTTACAGGAAACTCTAAAAAGTTGGAACATCCTTATCCTCATGCCCCAAAAGGCATACTAAAGGGAATTCCAGCTCTCATCGTCCTTAAGCCATGTCCTCATCTTCTGGAGTTTACTGTAGCTTAACTGTGTTAAGCTTTGAGCTTGCATGGATTCGGGACTCTAAAGCTGCTGGGAAGGGACTTCCGAAATCCTGCCTCCAGTCGGGCTGACTCAACCCAGTAGTCGGCTTTCTTCAGGGGGAAGTAGGATGCTGGCAGCAAGGATGGTGGATGTGGCACACCCGGCATCCCTTCTGCCAGAAGAGGCTCCGGCTCGTGCAGCGGAACATCGGGAAGGTACGCCGACAAGATCTCAGCGGTCTGCCGCGCTCGGATGACCGTGCTAACCCAGATGCCTCTATATCGGACTTTGATTTCCCCATATCGATCCTTCTTGACGCCAAGCCTCTCAGCCAAAAGCCTCTGCCCGAGCTTCGCAGCCTGTTCTCGGCCGAGGTCAGTCAGCTCATTGGCGTCGTCATCAACGTTGTACTGTCCATGTCGAATGAACAGAAGATGACGAATCTGCCCCGAAGTTTTAACTTCCACCCCGGATGGAGGTGCCCTCCCATCCCAATCGGGATTCCATGCCCGCTGCCACAGCGCACTTGCATCGGAGCCGTTTTCCGGGTCTGTCCACCAGTCCTCGCATTCGGCTGGCCGTCCTCTGTTTCGCAGCATGCCCCATGCTGTGCCCAGCCCTCCAGCCAATGCCACAGGCATCCAGTGTGCCTGCTTGAATGGCATGCGCGGCTGAAGCTGTACGCTCCTGGAGCCAGTCTCCGAGGCGTGTCCGTTCCTAGTTCATGGTTGGGATAGTATGAAAAATCTTAAGTTTCTATTCTTCCTTATTGAGTTTAAGTACCCTCTAAGAGTTTAAGAACCCTTGAACATGCAAAATGTTACCCCACTATGACACAAAGGTTCCAGCCACCACACCACCGCCGAGCTTGCCAAGCCATCCGGGGCCGCGCGCAGCGAGCAGCTCCCATGGCTGGAGGCTGTTGTGAGGGTTTAGGGTTTAGGGTTTAGGGTTTAGGGTTTAGGGTTTAGGATTTAGGGTTTAGGGTTTAGGGTTTAGGGTTTAGGGTTTAGGGTTTAGGGTTTAGGGTTTAGGGTATAGGACTGCCTGTTCAAGGCTCAGATGGGGGTTTCCGAAATTAGGGAGAACCTTGTTGGGGTCCTTCTTATGAGGGAAACCTACTACTTGGGGGACTATATTGGGGATCCCGTATTTTCGTACATTCCCAGCTAGGAACCGCTGTCAGCTCACAACATCACAACGCTCGAAACCCAGCTTCTTAGTAAGGCATCGTCTGTGAATAGTGACGGACTACGATGGTTCGCTGTCCGACCCCTGGATGAGCAACGGGTCACTTCAACAAAACTCTCCATGCCCATCAAGATCACAAAAAGTCACCAAGCCCCCCCCCCCCCCCCGCCCAAACCCTAAAACCCTCAAACCTATACCCTAAACCCTAAACCCTAAAGCCCTAAACCCTGAAACCCTAAAACCCTAAAACCCCCCAAACCCCCCAAACCCCCCAAACCCCCGAAACCGCCCAAAGCCCCCAAAGCCCCCAAAGCCCCCAAACCCCAAACCCTCAACCCTCAACCCTCAACCCTAAACCCTCAACCCTCAACCCTAAACCCTCAACCCTCAACCCTCAACCCTCAACCCTCAACCCTAAACCCTAAACCCTAAACCCTAAACCCTAAACCCTAAACCCTAAACCCTAAACCCTAAACCCTAAACCCTACCCACAGCGGCTCCTTGATCATGCTCTCCTCAAACTCCATCTTCTCCTTGCTGGGGTTGGTGTCGTCGAACCGCACGATCAGCTTGCCCTTGCCCACGTTTTCGTGGCTTAGGGTTTAGGGTTTAGGGTTTAGGGTTTAGGGTTTAGGGTTTAGGGTTTAGGGTTTAGGGTTTAGGGTTTAGGGTTTTTTGAAGCACAGGGCTGCAGGGAACCCTGAACCCTACCTCAAGAACCCAAAACCTATGTGTTTTTTTTGGGTAGGTTGCCTCGGAATCCTGCAAGGGGGTCATTGTAAGAACCTGCAGGAACGTCGGCTTTGGGTTCTTAAGGCAAGCCCTATATACACCCTATATAAACCCTATTTAAACCCGATTTAAACCCTATATAAACCTTTTATACACCCTATATAAACGATATATAAACCCTATATAACCCCTATAAATAAACCCTATAAACAAACCCTGGCGGCCTTGTAGTGCCGCGCGTAGTGATTGTTGATCATCGCGGCCTTGACGCACGTGAGCGGTCTCCAAACCCCAGACCCCGAACCCCCAACCCCCAACCCCCAAACCCTAAACCCTAAACCCTAAACCCTAGCCATCCCAGCTAGGCTTCGTAGGGCTTCCAAGGACAGCTTGTTGAGTTGACGGCTTCAGGGGTGTGGGAGTAGCCAGGGAGTTTCGGGCTTTGGGCTTAGGAGTTTAGGGTTTAGGGTTTAGGGCTTAATTAGGGCTTAGGGTTAAGGGATTAGGGTTTAGAGTTTAGGGTCTAGGTCTAGGTTTCTTGTAGGACTTGGAGTCGGGGGAGAGGAGTTCGGAGTCTTGGGTGGAGGTTTTTGTTTCTGCCCTGTGAAATGCTGCCTCCGCAGGCCCCAAAGACACTTCACCCCCAAACCGCCCGAAACGCGGCTCCTCAAGTTTTGAGGTTTAGGCTTTACGGTCCGAAACCGGCATCTTTCAAGCAATAACAAGCTTCAAAACCGAACCCTAAACCCTAAACCCTAAACCCTACACCCTACACCCTGAACCCTAAACCCTCAACCCTAAACCCAGACCCTACCCCCTCAAAGGAGCGGGCACTGGGGCCCTAAACCCCACTCGCTGAAGTAAGGGAGCCTTGGCGTGGCCGATGTGAAGGTAGCCACTGGGCTCCGGCGGAAATCTGGTGCACACCTTTGGCACTTTAGTGGCTGAAGGTTTCGGGCTTAGGGTTTAGGAGGTTTAGGGTTTAGCGTTTAAGGTTTAGGCCTGAAGCCCAGAAACCCGACGATCAACTATACAGAGTGGATCGGGTTCAGGAGCTTGGGAGTTGAGGCATAGGGGTTGGAGGTGTGTTGAATCCGGAAGGTAAAGCCATGAGTGGGCTTGGTGAGTTTTTTTTTTTTTTTGGGGGGGGGGGGGGGGGGGGGGTTGGGCATTGGGGTTTGGGGTTGGGGAGTCACCCTGCGCCCTAAACCCTAAACCCTGGTTGTACCTCTGGCTCTTGGCTTTTCCCCACCTGAGAACCCTTGCCACAAACAACCCAGTCAGCGTGTCCGCTAAATCCGATGTTGAAGAAGACTACCTAAATTTGGGCTGGTGTTTTGTGGAGCACCCGCATGTATGTAGATGTAGAGACCGTCTTCAAAACCCTAAACCCTAAACCCTAAACCCTAAACCCGAAACCCTAAACCCTAAACCCTCAAGCTACATCTTAACCAGGGTCCCTTTCGGGAGTCTAGAGGGTTTAGGGTTTAGGGCTCAGGGACCTAAAGAGGGGCCCTAATTCAGAGAACTACCCACATACACCCGCAGGCGTGAATATGCCCAAGCAGGGTTTAGGGTTTAGGGTTTTGGGGGTAGGGTTTAGGGTTTAGGGTTTAAGGTTTAGGGTTTAGGGTTTAGGGTTTGTAGGGCTTTTAGGGTTTAGGGTTTAGGGTTTAGGGGTTAAGGGTTAAGGTTTAGGGATTAAGGTGCAGGGTATTGACTTGGAAACCGCAGCTGCACATTCTAAAAGCAAAGCCCGTCTAAGACATTCGCTCACAACTCCCTCCTGCTCCAAACCCCCAACTCCCGAAGCCTGAAGGTCTAGGGTTTAGGGTTTAGGGTTTAGGGTTTAGGGTTTAGGGTTTAGGGTTTAGGGTTTAGGGCTAAACTTGAAGCCTCAACCCCCAAGCCCTCAACCTGGCCTTGCCCATTTCGGCGCCAGGCAGAAGACCTTCAAGCCTGGCTTGGTCCTGGCATGGAAGAGCTTCGGCTTGCGTGTTAGAAACTTCAGGGTTTAGGGTTTAGGGTTTAGGGTTTGGGGTTTAGGGTTTAGGGTTTAGGGTTTAGGGCTTAGGGTTTAGGGTTTGCGGTTTAGGGTTTAGGGTTTAGGGCTTAGGGTTTAATTAAGGGTAAGGGGTTAGGGTTTAGGGTTAAGGGTTAAGGGTTAAGGGTTAAGGGTTAAGGGTTAAGGGTTAAGGGTTTAGGGTTTAGGGTTTAGGGTTTAGGGTTTAGGGTTTAGGGTTTAGGGTTTAGGGTTTAGGGTTTAGGGTTTAGGGTTTAGGGTTTAGGGTTTAGGGTTAGGATTTAGGGTTTAGGGTTTAGGGTTTAGGGTTTAGGGTTTAGGGTTTAGGGTTTAGGGTTTAGGGTTTAGGGTTTAGGGTTTAGGGTTTAGGGTTTAGGGTTTAGGGTTTAGGGTTTAGGGTCCAAGAGAGGAGTTCATGGGGGCTGCGTTTCCACACGGTCTGACTTTCAGGTCTTCAGGCTTAATGGGGCTTTAGCAGGCTTAGGTCTTACTGTCGTTTAGGGGTTTAAGGCTTAGGGCGGCTTTTGGGGTTGGGGCTTGCCTGGTGGGTAAGGCTTCCAGGCCATTTTTGGGGTTGAGGGCTTCACGAGGCTTAGGGCTAGGTCGGTGCAGGGCCCTAAACCCTAAACCCTAAACCCTAAACCAGGGTAAGGACGCCCAACACCTCTAACACCCCTGTCCTTGCCCTTCTCGCCGCCGTCTTTGGAGGCGCCTCCGCCTCCTTTGCCAGCCTCAAAAAGGGACCCTGTTTAGGGTGCCTAAACCCTAAACCCTAAACCCTAAACCCTAAACCCTGAACCCTAAACCCTAAACCCTGTTTAGGGTTTCGTTTCAAAGTTTTGAGTTCGGCTCCAAACTGTAGGGTTTCAAATTTCGGTGCAGGGCCTTGGGTGTAAAAAAAAAGGTTTCGGCTGTAAGGGCAGAAGTCGGCCCACATGTGCAGAAGTCATGCTAGAGGCAATTCCCCGAAGGCGCAGCGCAGTTCAAGAAACCACATCTCCAAAATCCCAAACCCAAAACCCAAAACCCTAAAACCTAAACCCTAAACCGCTGTACCTTCGAGCTTGCCTTCCCCACAGGCCAAATTATCTTCAACCCATGGCTCCCCGGCAGCGCACACGGCTCGCTGTGTAGATACCCTGAACCCTAAACTCTAAACCCTGAACCCCAAGCCCCAAACCCTAAACCTAAATCCGACCGCAATGAAGTGAGCTTTGTGCGCAAGGCCCTCAGCCAAGTGTAGGCTCTAGCTGAAGCAGGCAGCTCAATGAAGCGCCAGGCTAGCGCGCAGGGTTCCAAGCACTATAGTTTAGGGTTTGGGGTTTAGGGTTGGGATTTGGGGTTTCGGGGTTAGGGTTTAGGGTTTAGAAGCCCTAAAACCCACTGGGGTCCTGGCACCTTTGGGCCACTGCTTGTGCGGAAACTTCTGCTTCAGGGCACGCACGTGCAGCAGCCAGCCTTTCGCGGATTGAAGGGGGGAGGGGGGGGGGATGTGTTGAGGGGATTAGGGTTTAGGGTTTAGGGTTTAGGGTTTAGGGTTTAGGGTTTAGGGTTTAGGTTTAGGGTTTAGGGTTTAGGGTAAGCCCTGAAGGCTAAACCCCTAGACCGCAAGGGGATGAAGAGTTTACGGGTCTTGGGGGATGTTCGGGGACCCCTAGAACCTAAAGCCCTGTGTTAGGGGGTTTAAGGAAGGGGCGGGGGGGGGGGAACCAAAACCCGAAACCCCGAAACCATGATTGGAATCGTCGTGATGTGCTACAGAAAGGTGGGGTGGGGAGGTGGGGATCCTAAACCCTAAACCCTAAGCCCTAAACCCCATAAACGCTAAACCTAAGCCTCAAACCCTCAATCCTACACCCTAAACCCTAAGCCCTAAACCCGAGAGGTGATCAATGACACCAAACATCTAAGGTTTAGGGTTTAGGGTTTAGGGTTTAGGGTTTGGGGTTTGGGGTTTGGGGTTTAGGGTTTAGGGTTGAGGGTTTAGGGTTTAGGGTTTAGGGTTTACGGTGGAGCTGATTGGCTTCCTAGAACCTCAACCCTACTGTAACCAGCCCTAGAGTCTGAAGCCTACACACCCTCAACTTTCGAGCCCAACCCAAAGAGCCCAATATTGCTTAATTAAGGAATATACCTTAAATCATATTAAGGATCCCTAAAGGATTTAAGGAATATTCCTTAATTAGGCAATATTGGGCTCTTTGGGAAGAGATCTTGAACGGTCCCAAACCCTTAGACCTCAACCGTGCTCAGCCCTCCCAAACTCTGCCCCGCCCTACTACAAACCCTCAAGCCCTAAGCCCGAAACACCCAACACCCTACACCCTTCACCCTACACCCTAAACCCGAAGACGGGCAGATCAGAAACGCTGCCCCGCGGCGTCTGGCGTGGGGAAACTGCTCGGCATCCATGTTGTAGGGCGCCTCATGGTTTAGGGTTTAGGGTTTAGGGTTTAGGAGGTTTAGGAGGTTTAGGGTTTAGGAGGTTTCGGGTTTAGGGTTTATGGTCTAGGAGGTTTAGGAGGTTTATGAGGCTTAGGAGGCTTAGGAGGTTTAGGCGGTTTAGGAGGCTTAGGAGGCTGAGGAGGTTTAGGAGGTTTAGGAGGTTTAGGAGGTTTTGGAGGTTTTGGGTTGAGGAGGCTTAGGGCTTAGGAGGTGTTAGGGTTGAGGAGGTTTGGGGTTTAGGGTTCTAGGGGGGTTCGGGTTCGTCAAGTTCAGGGAGATTAGGGGTCTGGGACTTCGGGCAGGGTTGGGGGTCTAGGGTTTTAGGGTTTAGGGCTCTTTGGGTTCTTGGGTTTCGGGCGGGGTTAGGGCTGTGGAAATTTGAACTGGCGCAGTTGGGCATGGTGCTTCGGATTTGATGATAGGTTTGCGCCGGGGAAACCGTACCCACAAGCAATCCAAAATTCCCGCAAGTGCTGTATGAATTGCCTTGTCCAGCAACTCGAAATCTTCTTGCGTCGCCGTTGCCTGAGCCGAACAAAAGTTCCATGATGTTGAGGATTCTTGCTGACAGCAAACAAGGTGGTCCCTAGCTTGGGAGAAGTTTTGGATGGACAGGAACCCTAAACCCTAAACCCTACACCCGGAATTCAAGTTGTACAGCTTTGGAGCCCTCAGGGTAGCGGCCCACTCTGCCCCATGCTCTTGCTGGCGGGGTGACTGAGATCACATGATCTGGGCCCAAAACCCTAAACCCCAAACCCCAAACCCCAAACCCCAAACCCTAAACCCTAAACCCCAAACCCCAAACCCTAAACCCTAAACCCTAAACCCTAAACCTCCCTTTTCGTGTATGGCCCTGCCATGCGGAAGGTCTCTAAGGGGCCGGCGCCGCCGCCGATGTAACTGACCTTCGCCAGGTGGTCATTGAGCTCCTGCCCAAGAGTTGCTTTGAAACTCGGGGCCCTTTAAGTGTACGTTTAGGGTTTAGGGTTTAGGGTTTAGGGTTCCGTACCCTATATAAACCGGCTGCGTACCATATGACCGGGTCCCCAAAGGAACCATAACTTAGACAACCTCCCAGGTGGCTACTCGGAGGTTCAGGGTACTTGCTAATGCAAATGCTGACTGTACATATAACCAGATTAGTTATGACCATATCAAGCAGGGTTTATATTTCTTGTACCCCCAAAAGGACACCAGGTATATACGCGCACCAATATAAAAAAAGGAACCTTATATACACTCACCAATAACAGAAATATAAACCCTGCTTCATAATATAAGGGCACGTAAGGGGCCTCTAAGTGGATTATAAGTACAGTGATAATTGGTGAACCCGGAACCCGGAACCCTAAACCCTAAACCCTAAGCCCTAAAACCTAAAACCCTGAACCTCCGAGTAAGCCCTCTTTGACCCGATGGTCCCTCCTTGAGCCCCGCTTCGGTCTTGAGGCTGCCGAAGGCCTGGTTTAGGGTTTCAGGGTTTTAGGGTTTAGGGTTTAGGGTTTGGGGTTTACGGTTGAGGGTCTAGGGTTTAGGGTTTAGGGTTTAGGGTTTAGGGTTTAGGGTTTAGGATTTAGGGTTTAGGGTTTAGGGTTTAGGGTTTAGGGTTTTAGGGTTTTAGGGTTTAGGGTTTAGGGTGTAGGGTTCAGGGTTTTAGGGTTTTAGGGTTAAGGGTTTCGGGTTCAGGGTTTAGGGTTTAAGGGTTAAGGGTTTAGGGTTTAGGGTTTAGGGTTTAGGGTTCAGGGTTTAGGGTGCAGGGTTTTAGGGTTTAGGGTGTAGGGTTATAGAACCTGTATAGGGTCTTGTCCGGAGTTTTGGGTTTAGGGTTCAGGGTTTAGGTTTTAGGGTTTAGGGGGGGGAAGGGGCGTTGGGAGGTTTTGTCGGGTTTGGCGGGGGCGGGGGGGGTGTTGTCGGGCTTTCTCTTTTGCTTGTTGAATGAAACCGTCTTTTATATTATATATATATATTTCTTTTTTTTAGGGGGTGTTTTTCTTTGTATTTCGAATGAAATTTCATTTGTCATAGCTTTTCAGGCTTGGGGAGGTCTTGCCCAAGAGTGTTGAACGAAAGGTTTTGAACGAAAGGCGTTGAACGAAAGGCTTTGAGTGAAAGGTGTTGAACGAAAGGTTTTGAACGAAATGTGTCGAACGAAAGGTGTTGAACGAAAGATGTTGAAGGAAAGGTTTTTTGAGCGAAAGGTCTTGAACAAAAGCTTCTGTTCAAGCTCATGGTGCCTTGAAGACATGTCTCTTGAAGCCTGTTGGCCTTTTGCGTTCTTTGAAGGATTCTTGTAGCCCATCGAAACTGCAAGCTCTGAGAAACTGAAGCATGATTGTAGTCCATCGAAATTGCACAAGTTCTGAGTGAATCACGTACAACTTTGGTTTATCCTTCTTGGGGTTTAGGGGTTTGGGTGTCACGGTTTGGAGAGAGGCGTTCGGGTCTAGAGTTAGGGTTTTGAGGTTTCGGGGTCGCGGGGTTCAAGGGCTTAGGGCTCAGGGTTCGAGATTTAGGACAAGAGGCTTGGGATCTCGAGATTAGGGGTTCGGGGTTTGGCGGTTTGGGGGTTCAGGGGCGCGGGGGCTTCGAGGTTTTGGATTTAGGGTTTCAAGGGTTGTAGGGTTTAGGGGTTTGGGGGTTTAGGGGATTAGAGGTTTAGGGCTTAGGTTTGGGGGTATTAGGGGTTGCCGTTCAGGGATTGAGGGGCTTAGAGATTTGCTTACAGTAGGGCTTAAAGTAAGGTTGTCAGCAGACTTATGTGTCAAGTTCTACTCTTTACGCAGACAGGAATCTTTTCGTGATAGGATCATCACGTAACTTGTGCCATGTCTTTTACTCTTCGCCGCTGATTCGGGACCCCTGTCAACAGCCAAGTGCCGGGCCATGGTGGGCCGTCAGGCTACCAGGCGCCCGGGGGAATGGAATGTTGTCAACCGGTTTTTGGGACACCCAAACCCTAAATCCTAAACCCTAAACCCGAAACCCTAAACCCTAAACCCTAAACCCTAAACTATCACTAAACGTCATCATGCATTTAAGACCTTGATCAGGCAGCAGGGTCCGTGTAGCAGATCAAGATTCCGAATCCTTGGCATCTAAGGACTACGGCGTGGGGATGTATGCTGTGGACGACAGTACTGAGCCGCAAATGCAACGGCGGGTTTAGGGTTTAGGGTTTAGGGTTTAGGGTTTAGGGTTTAGGGTTTAGCGATTCTAGGGTTGCAGGCTTCCAGCTGTTCGGGGTGCCGCCTGGAATGCACATCAGTCTGACTTCGGAAGCCACGAACCCTGGACTTTAGGGTTTAGGGTGATACTCAAGCAAGGCTCAGGATTCAGGGTTTAGGGCTGAGGGTCTAGGGTCAGGCGCTGCCTGAAGGCTAAGCGCGTTCTGGAACACAGTAGCACAGCAACGACCATTCGGGTTGTTCCCCCTTGTACTAATAGTCTAATATTCTTTAATGGGGATGATCACGATAATTTCTAGAATTTAGGCTCCGTCGGTGTGGACCTCATCCCGCTAGAGAGGGAGACATGTCTCATGCGAGGCCTCGAGTCACTTCTCGATTCATTTTCAACACGAAAGTGGAAAGAAGTACCCTAAACCCTAAACCCTAAACCGCTTAGGGTTTAGGGTTTAGGGTTTCGGGTTTAGGGTTTAGGGTTTAGGGTTTAGAGTTTAAGGTTTAGGGTTTAGGGCCCCATGCCTAGGATAGCCCCATGAACTAAAGCCCCCCGAACCCTAAACCCGAAATAACGCCCGCAGTCCCACCGAGTCGTCGTTAATGCCGGCATCCCGCATGACTCTCCGAGAGCACCTGGGGCGTGGGGTTTAGGGTTTAGGGTTTAGGGTTTAGGGTTTAGGGATTAGGGTTTAGGGTTTAGGGTTTAGGGTTTAGGGCTGCCTGAGGCCACTCTACCAACCTTGGCGACACCCCTAGCATCTCCAAATCTCACCCAAACCTCACCTTTCTTCTACTCTAAACCTGATAGGTTGAGTTTGGGCTTAAGAACTTCGCATGCGAAAATACTGCCAGCCGAAAAGCCACGCAAAAACACCCTAAACCCTAAACCCGAACCCCTAAGCCCTAAGCCTGAACCCTGAACCCTACACCCAATTTAGGGTGACAACAAGATGGGTTCAACTGGGGCTAGCTCCCGCACCGAACGCTGTGTCTTTTTCCTTTCTTGGGTGGAGGAGAGGAAGGAGGGAAGGGAGGCATACTACAAACCCTCACCCTTTACACCCTCTAAACCCTCTAAGCCCTATAAACTTGCAAACCCCATAAACCCCACAAACCTAAACCCTCTAAACCCTATAAACCCGATAAGCCCTCGAAACTTGCCCTAAACCCTGCTAAACCCTAAAACCCTGCACCCTAAACCCTAAACCCTAAACCCTAAACCCTAAGGGCCGCGACACTTCCCCGAAGCGCTGGCCAGGGTCGTGGGCCTCGGGAGTGGTCTTAGGAAGGTTTAGTGTTTAGGGTTTAGGGTTTAGGGTTTAGGGTTTCGGGTTTCGGGTTTCGGGACTCGGGTTTGGGATTCAGGCTTTAGGGCTTCGGGTGTAGGGTTTAGGGCAAGCTTTGGGCTTCGGCTGTTGAGTTCGGGATCTCTAGATGCCTGAGGCGGTCGAACGGCACTGGCGACCTCCGCATTGTAGATGCTTTAGGGCTTAGGGCGGTTTAGGGTTTAGGGTTTAGGGTTGAGGCGCGTATGAGAGCTTTCGTGCAGGGAAGGGTCTTCTGAGAAGTCTCCGATTGGCTGGGGCGGGGCCAGCGTGAGGTGATGCTGTGCTCCACACCCTCACGGAGCACCGGTGGTTGAAGTTGACCACGTACAGCCTCAGCAAGCTGCGCTCTCCTCAAACCCTAAACCGCCTAAACCCGAAAACCTAAATCCCCTCTCTCGCTCTCTCTCTCTCTCTCTCTCTCTCTCTCTCTCTCTCTCTCTCTCCGTGTCTTCCTCTTCTCCTATCATCTGGAACCCTGCAAGCCCGAAAAAAGGTTGCAAGAACACAAGAGGGCCTTCATCCGCAACATCCGACTCTTTTTGAGATCCTTGCGGGCTCTCGCGCGCTGAGAAAGCCTCAGTGCCCGCCAAGGCCGCTGCCAGTAGGCCTCAGAATAGAGCGCTCCGGTAGCCTGCCCTCGCCTGCGCTGCGCACGGGAGATCAAGGGACTAAAAGGAGACCCAGGGTTTAGGGTTTAGGGTTTAGGGTTTAAGGTTTAGGGTTTGGGGGATATAAATGGCTATACATGGTTGCGTCGCCCCCCCCCCCCCCTTCCCCCTCCGCTTCAGCCTCCCCGCGCTTCCCCTCCCCCCCCCCTCCCCCAAGGATGGTACCCGTGCCCGGTGGTGTGGTTGCCCGCCCGCCTGCTGGTGGAACTACTCGGAAGCTCTGCCGCATCGTCGCCGGGTTGCTTCCGCTTCTTCGGCGGATCAACCACGGGATAGTGCCGGTAGAGCTTCCGAGTGTCCGGGTCCATCCACATCAAAAACTTGTGGAGGCCCCTTCGCTCTGCCAGTGTCATCTCGTACACGCCCTGCTCCATCTCTAATTGCAGAGCCATCGCGTCCCAGAATCCTTCGGGAGGCTCGCTGTCCAATGCGGGCTTGGGGCGAGTCTCCCGATTCAACCAGTGACGCGAAGGCTCTGCTCGTAGAGGCCCCACGCCCCGAAACGCCAGCTCCGTGAAACTCCTGCCCTCGCGACAGAAGTCGCTCAGGCCCCAGTCAGCATCTACCTCTGAGGAGTCGATGTAGCGCGCGGCGGCGACTGGCCCTTGGCGCACCCCGCATTTGTCGCAAACCTTAGTGAGGAGGCGGAGAAGAAACTTATACCTTCCTATCGGGAAACTTACGTCCTCCAAACCGGAACCTACCTCCCCAGACAACAAAGAAGAAAAGGAACGCCCCGAGATCTACTCAAAAAGACTTTCTAAAGTCTGTCCCTCCCGGGTACATATTGCGACCACTCGTCGGTCCATGCCGCTCCGGTAAACGCATACAGTTTGCCTCGCGACACGGAACCCGAAATCCCAAACCATAGAACGCCTTTAATAGGATTTAAATCATTAAAAAGACCACACCCAAATCCCGCCACGCCCCGCGTCCTGGGCAGCGGGGTGCGCGGGGGTCGTCCTCCCACATCAAACTCTAGTCCTCCGGCATGCCGCAGGGCAGGCCCTGTTCGATGGTCCTCGGTTCCCGAAACCCTTCTCTTCCCCTTCTCCAACCCGAAGAACAGCCCGAGTTGCTACAAGCCCAGAAGACCTAACCCAGATGTTCTACCACCAACCAAAAAAAGAAATAACCACAATAAAAACCCTCGACGTTCTATACTTTCCAACCAGCCCGGCGTCGAGGTGCGGCACGCCATGGGTGCACAAAGGATCGAAAAGATGCTGACTGGCGGAGCTGTCGCTTCGGGATGGAGAGGGCGCTGCGGAAACGACAATTCTATACCAGCAAACCCAAGAGCAGAATGCCAGCAACGAGTATTCCTAAAAACAAACGAAGGGAACGAACGAAAATAGAGACAAGACCGTCTGATGTTATGACTTCAAAACGCACATTACACCGTGACCTTGTAAGCCTTGCGTTGTCAATCCGCCCTAGTTTGGAAGGCAATATTCGTGTGGTCGCGTCAGTCGAGTCGGTAAGAAACATTAAGCAATGTCTTGGTAAACACAGGCAGACACACGTCAACCTGGTGCCGAATGGACCTACTTCGTGTCTAAGGCTTCCTTTACAAGACAATAACAAACCAACACCAGGATGCCCGACAAAAATTAAACCAAAAAAACGAACGAAAAGAAAAAACAGGGCAGTCTGAAATAATGACTTAAGGATGAAGGGTACTCCGTCAGCCCTTTGCCAACCCGGACGACACTTCTAATTTCGCTTCTACACTGTGTCTAATCTAAGACCCCTCACCAGAAAGGATCATGTTTTGACTTTCCGGGCGAAGGGACTACCCGCCCCAAAGAGAAAACAAGAAAGTAGATGACCAATAGTTGCCCGCCCACACACCTTCCTAATAAAATTTTAATTGTTTACAATTGGGTCTTTTCTACGCCGCCGCCCATGTTAATATAGTATTACTTACAATAAAAAATGCGTAGGAACGCGCTTGAAACAATTTTGGAACGCCAAACGACCAACAAAAATTTAACGATTTTCATACTATAATGCTAGTAATTAAAACTCCTCTTTGGGGTCTTTTCCCCGCCCTACCCCGCTCACGCCCCGCTCTGCCCCCGCGGCGACTGCAAGGCAATACAGCAGGCGGCCTTGCGCCGTCGCGCAGCAGATGTTCCTCCTCGTGCTCCGGCCGGCCGGCCACTCCTGACGCCTGCGGCCGTCTAGCTGCAAACCTCCACGAGATGGGCGGCTGGCGGACGTTCGCGTGACCGACCGAAAAACATGACGTCCCAAGTCGAGGTAGCTAGGGCCGGGCTGGGTGGGATAAGCTCTTCACAAACACCCCCTCTTAAATCAGCATATGTTGGTTTTTTGAGTTTTGGGTTTTGGGTTTGAAGGGTGTAAAGTTAGGGGTTTAGGGTTTAGGGTTTAGGGAACATTTAGGGTTTAGGGTTGAGGGTTTATGGCTTAGGGTTTCGGGGAGACCGTAGACTATGTGGGGGGGGGTATGGGGGGGGGGGGGGGGCCAGAACGCACAGCGCACAACCATATATGGGTTATATAAGGAAATAAAATTAAGGGTCCGTTCTAGGGGTCCAACCTTATAACTCTAAGGTGAGGATTGAGGTGTAGGGCACATTTAACGTCCAGGCGCTATCAGAAATGGGTACTTTCTTGTTTATGTGAAAACTGTTCTGCTGCTCAGGAATTGTGATAGGATAATATTGGCAACCATGTACTACGATTTGCTTAGGAACCCCCCAAATTTATAATCCTCATTTGCCCTTATAAGCAAGAACATGTTCATTTTGTGGGGAGGTTCTTAAGCAAAAAGTAGTATATTTAAACGGATCATTTGTCAGGATTTTACTGCATAATCTTGGCAACCCTAAACCCTAGGCCGTCGGCAGACCCTAAACCCTAAACCCTAAACCCTATGTAAGTTCCTGCAAGACGCGGCTCTTCACTTCCAACGCGCCTTGCTGTCACATTCCAGAGGCAGAGCCGCCGGAGGTCTTCGTTCACGACGTCTTCTGTGCAACGAAGCGTCATTCCAGGTCAATCTCATTGGTTTAGATTTGGGGTTTGGGGTTTGGGGTTTGGGGTTTGGGGTTTGGGGTTTGGGGTTTGGGGTTTGGGGTTTGGGGTTTGGGGTTTGGGGTTTGGGGTTTGGGGTTTGGGGTTTGGGGTGGACCCACGTCTCTGTTTGTCAACCCGCAGTGACGTAAATACAGATTGCACGAAACCTGAGGAAGCCCTGTTTCCGCAAATCGGGGTGAAGAACTTTTGCGGGGCGCCCCTGAACCCTAAACCCCAAACCCCAAAACCTACACCCGAAACCCCAAACCCTGAACCCAAACCCTAAACCCTAGCCCTAAACCCCAAATCCCAAACCCTAAACCCTAGCCCTAAACCCCAAACCCCAAATCCTAAACCCTAAACCCTAAACCCTAAACCCTAAAAACCCCTAAAAGGAGAGCCTCCGGTGACGGGGCCGCCCCCATCCGGGTCCGGAGCACAGAAGCTGTCGGAATCAACGGCGACACAGAGCTGCGAGTCGCCCAAGCCTCGTGTGGTTTAGGGTTTAGGGTTTTGGGTTTAGGGTTTAGGGTTTAGGGTTTAGGGCTTAGGGTTTAGGATTTAGGGCTTAGGGTTGGCCCTGAAGATACCCAAACCGCTGTACGTCCTTCATGAAGTTTGCGATCTGCTACACGTGGGCCCGCTACAAGACAAGATTCCTGAACCCTAAACCCTAAACCCTAAACCCTAAACCCTAAACCCTAAACCCTAAACCCTAAACCCTAAACCCCGACCAAGTCCGGGATGTCTGGCTCAAGTGGGTTCGGGAGTTCCTTGAGGACTCAAAGAGCCCAAAACCTCTGAGAGGGTTTAGGGTTTAGGGTGTAGGGTTTAGGGTTTAGGGTTTGGGGTTTAGGGTTTAGGGTTTGGGGTTTAGGGTTTAGGGTTTAGGGTTCAGGGTTTAGGGTTGAACTGGAAACTGCTAGGAACCCCCCCTGCCCACCCGAAATCCTGACCCTTAACGCTAAACCCAGCACGAACCACAGGGGAGAGAGGAAACCCTGAGCCCTGAACCGAAACCCTACACCACCCTCGATGAACCACGGGGGCCAAACTGAAAATCCTCAACCCCAACCCTCAACCCTAGAACTCAACCCTTAGCCACAGAGCATGAACCACAAGGGGGAAGGGGGAGGGACCCAATAGAAAGTTCATTTCAGCATCAAATAAACACAAAAATAATTGTAGTCAATATTAGTTCAAAAGATATTAATTGAGATATTATTCAAATACAGCCTAGCATAGAATACTTACTACAACTGGATAAAGCAGCATATATAATGAAAACTATAGATAATCCCATTAATCATATTACTATTATTCAAACAATATAAATATTAACCAAGAAAAAAGGATAAAGAAGAAAGTGATTTTGAATCGACAAAACAAAGAAAAAATAGTGGAACAAAATAAAATTCAAAAGAAAAGTGTAACTTAGGAATTAAAAATTGAGCAATTATTAAACTACATCCATTCATTAAAGAAGAAATGTACAATATCCACCAAGATTAAAAGGTCCAATGCGTCTCTGAGCGGGTCCAGTTTTTTTTCGTGTTCTTTCTGGTTTTTTTTTTCGTATTTTCATGGTCTTGGGTTTAGGGTTTAGGGTTTAGAGGGTTTTTAGGGTTTTTAGGGTTTTTAGGGTTTTTAGGGTTTTTAGGGTTTTTTGGGGGTTTTTAGGGTTTTTAGGGTTTTTAGGGTTTTTAGGGTTTTTAGGGTTTAGGGTTTAGGGTTCACCTGAAACCATAAAAAAACACGAAAAAATACCAGAAAAAACACGAAAAAAGAACCATCAGCCTCTCTGAGCACTACACATTATTAACTCATCCAATAATTTTAAAAAAAAAAAAAAAAAAAAAAAAAAAAAAAACAGCGGTAATTACATTTAAAAACATAAAACTGACAAAAACAAATTGAGCTTAGAGTAAACTTTAAGGCTTTAATTGAGAGCTTAACACTTCAATTTAGCGCTGTTTAGCTTAAGCATTTCAAATTTGAAGGTTGAAAGCCAAAATCCAAACCCTGAACCGAAGAGGGGGTGCGGGGAGGGGAGAAGGGAGGAGGGGAGGAAGAGGGGCGAATACTGACGCATGTACAAGGTACATGTCCAAGTGTACCCTGAACACTAAACCCTAAACCCCCAACCCCAAACCCCAACTCCGAAACCGAAGCCCTAAACCCTAAACCCTATGCGTAGTGAGCTGCAGCCCTTAAGGCGCCTTGCCGGCGTGCGTCCTTACCCCACCGCACACTCCACTTGTGAGTGTTGGGGCGGGCAAGGGGTGGGCACATTATATTGACCAGGTAGAAGGTCTTTCAGAGGTTATGACGCCCAAACTCACGCTTGCTGCGTGACTTCGTGGAAGGTGGCCTGGACTCAAGAAGCTTGCAGCTGCAGGGCCTGGTGATGGAGCACTCTTGGGGGTTGCCGGGAACTGGGGGGCTGCCTGGACCAAAGGCACGAGATGCTATGGAGATGCTATGGGGGTGGTCTGGACTCTGGGGCGGCTTGGCCATGGGTGGTGTCACTTAGGTTGCTTGGTGGTTGCTGGTCTTGGGCGGCACGGGGCATGCTAGGGCTGTGGGCGGCGCAAGAGGCGTGGCAGCTACAGCAGCGTGCTATTAACAGGGATGGCTGGGCGCCTAACAGTCGGTGCGGTGGCTCAAGCCCGACGGCCTAGTCGACAGGTTGGGGGGAGCTGCAGCGGGGAAGCACTCCATCCCTGCGTGTTGGAGTGGGGGGAGTGCGTAGTGAGCTGCAGCCCTTAAGGCGCCTTGCCGGCGTGCGTCCTTACCCCACCGCACACTCCACTTGTGAGTGTTGGGGCGGGCAAGGGGTGGGCACATTATATTGACCAGGTAGAAGGTCTTTCAGACCCTAAACCCTAAACCCTAAACCCTAAACCCGAAACCCTAAGGTTTCAGGTTTCAGGCTGTGCCTTGGTCAGGCTTGAAAATGTCGTAGCGCGGCGCAAACTGCAAGTGCTCCCTGGCAAAGCAGGGAGAGCCCAGGGGTTTTGAGGGTCTAGAGACCTTAGGGCTTAGGGCTTGGGGCTAAGGGCTTAGGGTTCAGGGTTTAGGGTTTAGGGCTAAGGGCTACGGGCTAAGGGTTTAGGATTGGGTTTAGGGTTTAGGGTTTAGGGTTTAGGGTTTAGGGTGTAGGGTTTAGGGTTTAGGGTTTAGGGTTTAGGGTTTAGGGTTTAGAGTTTAGGGTTTAGGGTTTAGGGTTTAGGGTTTAGGGTTTAGGGTTTAGGGTTTAGGGTTTAGGGTTTAGGGTTTGGGGTTTGGGGTTTGGGGTTTAGGGTTTAGGGTTTAGGGTTTAGGGTTTAGGGTTTATGGTTTAGGCTGCAATACGCATGCATGGAAGGCAGGATGCATGCCGCGTCCCAAAATCCTAAACAAATCCTAAGCTGCCGCACATCCGCGCATCGGAAACCAGAGGCTCAACCAGGCAAGGCAGACGACAGGGCAACCGCCTTAGGTATGAGTGTTGAGGTTTCGGGGTTTAGGCTTCAGAGTTGAGAGTTTCGGGACTAGGGTGTCCCAGTTTAGGGTCTTTGGGTATTGGGGCTTCAGGGTTTTGGATTGCTTGGGGAAGAAATGTGGATTGTCACAAAAAGACACGACATAAACCTTCCGCAAATCTCCGAGGTTCGAGGCTATCGATTTTATAAACACAGCCGGCAAACCGGCTTCCTTTAAGTTAGTAGGGTTTAGGGTTTAGGGTTTAGGATTTAGGTTTTAGGGGTTCGGGTGCGGGCAAGCTGCCCCAAACCTAAACCCTAAACCCTGAACGCTAAACCCTACAACCCTACAACCCTAAAACCTAAAGCCCGGGCCCGCTGTCATAGCAGGGTTTCCGGCATAAGGCTTGAACTTCTCGAGGAACTTGTTGGCCAACCTGCCACCGGAACCACCCCTAAACCCTAAACCCTAAACCCAAAACCCGAAACCCTAAACCCTAAACCATAAACCCTAAACCCTAGCCCCAATTCCGGCAAGATAACTGGCAAAGGTCTGGGGTTTAGGGCACAGAGTCTGCGGAGTTCCCACGATTCCCCAAGTCTGGCCATGCCCCTGGCCTGCAAGGGTTTAGGGTTTAGGGTTTAGGGCTTAGGGTTCAGTGCTTAGTGCCATTTAGGGTTCCTCTTGAAAAGACATTCGCATGCCTGGCAGCGGGATTTACACCGAAAAAACCTACGTACCCTTTGCAAAGCCGACATCTCCCAACCCGCCTGTCGCCAGAGCTCATCCAGAAGTCCATGTGCACCACCTGCCCGGTCAGCGTGTTCGGGTCTGGGGCGTGCAGAGTCTAGGGTGTTGGGGTTTAGGGTTTAGGGTTTAGGGTTTGGGGTTTAGGGTTTAGGGTTTACGGTTTTGGGGTTTAGGGTTTAGGGTTTCGCGTTCAGGGTTCAGGGTTTCGGGTTTCGGGTTTCGGGTTTCGGCGGCGGTCTAGGCGTGGGACAAGATTCGAGAAGTGCAAGCTGGACTGCGGCACCATAATCTATACCTTAGAACCTTATCTAAAACATATTTTTAATATCTTGGGTTACATAAACAGAAATAACAAACTATTCCCAAGGGGGATATAGTGTAATGGTGCCACTGGTGACGGCCTTTCCTCGCGGGATGTTCCAGTCCAGCTCGACCTTCGTCAACAGAAGTCTTTTTAGCCCAGTAACCATCTTCTAATAAGGGCACCCTTTTTGGGGATAGTTACTTTATAGGGGAACCCTAAACCCTAAACCCTAAACCCCAAACCCTAAACCCTAGTAACCAACTTCTAATAAGGGCACCCTTTTTGGGGATGGTTACTTTATAGGGGAACCTTGAACCAAAGGGAAAAGGGCACCGCTGGGGCTACCGAGAAGTCCAGTCGAAACCCTCTAAAGCCCTAAACATCCCTAAGCCCCAAGGCCTAAACCCTAAACCCTAAACCCTAAACCCTAAACCCTAAACCCTAAACCCTAAACCCTAAGTTCTGGGTCTGGCTTTGGGGGGCCATCCTCAGCTGGATATGAAGAGGCTACCCATATCTACCCCATGTGCGGCGAGCGCCGAAGGCCGAAGCTCGCGGGTTTAGGGCTTAGGCCGTATATTTCTTGCTATCATCACCACTGCGACTGCTGTCAGAATTTGCAGACTCATCATCTTCGGACTCGTAGTTCTTGGCTTCTTCGCACTGCCCCCCCCCCCCCCCCCCCCATGTCATTCTCCTAAGTCCGTCTACGCCTCCACCCTAAACCCTAAACCACAACGGAGGCTCGATAGCCCCACCAGGGTTCCCCCATGATCCCACATAATCCCTAGTACATCCTTAAGGCTCCCAGAGTTTTCGGTTTAGGGTTTAGTTTAGGGCGTTCCCGCCTCCCCCCCCCCCCCCCCCCCCCCCGAAGTCTGTCAGACTGACCCAAAGAGCCCTATACTCTTAAAGAAACATGCCTTACATCATACTAAGGAGCCCCGTATGATTTAAGGCATATAATCCGAAACCCTAAACCCTAAACCCTAAACCCTAAACCCTAAACCCTAAACCCTAAACCCTAGTTTTTTTTTTTTTAGTTCAGGGGTGTTCCAGGGGTATCGCAGGCTCTCCCGGCAAGTGCTCTCAGGCCACTGAGGATCGGCGCCATCACCGTCTCCTGCTTGGCGGCGTCGATGAGGAGCTGCCCCTCCGTCCTCAGCACATTTGGGGGTTCAGGGTTTAGGGGGTTTAGGGTTTATAGGGTTTATAGGGTTTATAGGGTTTATAGGGTTTATAGGGTTTATAGGGTTTATAGGGTTTATAGGGTTTATAGGGTTTAGGGTTTAGGGTTTAGGGTTTAGGGTATAGGGTTTAGGGTTTAGGGTTTGGGGTTTAGGGTTTAGGGTTTGGGGTTTAGGGCTTAGGGTTTCGGGTTTGGGGTTTAGGGTGTAGGGTTTGGGGATGACCAGCTGAGGGAGTTGGGGTGTATAATTTGTTTGGGTTCAAACATAGGGGTGCACTCCAGGGTTTCCAGATGGTTTAGGGATTTTGGGTCCAAGGTCCAGGTTCTGATCTCGTAGGCTTGTGGGCCTTGGATGGGATTCAGGATGGAGTGCAGGATTGTAACAGGGCGGGTTCTTATAGCATATGTACAAAGGGACCCTAAAAAAATGATATTAGCAATTAATCCCAAACCCCCTATGTTCAGGAAGGTATCGGCACAACACAGACACTGCCTCCACCCAAACGTTCAGTTGTAAGCTCGGGACTTGCTCACCAACATGGATGGTATCTGCACGGTATCGCCCCATCCATCATCGGCCATGACCTGCCAAGCAGGCGCCTGCCAGACGACCTCAACCGCCTAAGCCTCCTCTTTCCTGAGCCGCAAAGCAGTGCACGTGCATGGGCTGTTCTAGATCAGGACCCCCATTTTGGAATGACCTTGCTCATACTGTAAAGAGGTATGTTTGCGAGTACGAAGGGCACCTTGACAGGACTCCAATGCAGAGCGACCCCCGACATGCTATCCATTGTAGCAACATATGATTACATTAAAATATGATTGTAAAACTGTTTGACTAAATATTCTGATGTCTACAATATATTAATTTAAGATTTCATTATTTGCATTGTTTACGGTTATGTTGTTGTGTTTTGTTATGGTGCTGTATATTGTTAAAAGAGTATACCAATGTACTACTTGTTCGATGTGTTAGAGCATTCTATTTCAACTTCTTATATGAGTAATAATTCTTCTGTTTTTTAAGATTAGACTATATTGTATATGAGTATACTCGCACATGATCTTTATCATTACGGGCATGCAGGCAGGTAGACCCTAAACCCTTAACCCTCAACCCTAAACCCTAAACCCTAAACCGTAAGTAGACAACAGCGCCGGGCAGACCACGCTCTGGATGTCTTCCGGCGTATTACTGGAAGTCTCCCGATCGACCTGCCACAGCAGCAACTGTGCTTCTAGGGTTTAGGGTGTTTGGTGTTTAGGGTTTAGGGTTTAGGATTTAGGGTTTAGGGTTTAGGGTTTGAGGTTTGGGGCTTAGGGTTTAGACTGTCGCCCCGCGATACCCAAGGTCTGTAGACTGATACTGGCAGAGTGGCTGTTCTGATCTTACGATGGTGCTACACAGCAACTCCGATAATCTTTGTAGGATGCAAGCCGCAACCCTCAACCCTTAAAGCCCTTAACTTGTCCTACAAATTGAAAAATCCCTGACCCGGGGCGGACCACGACCACTGCATGAGCTCCTTTCTCCTGGGCGACGCGGACCTGGCACAAGCTGAAATGCACGTCTTGGGAATAGGGTTTAGGGTTTAGGGTTTAGGGTTCAGGGTTCAGGGTTCAGAGGGTTTAGGGCTTAGGGCTGCAAAAAGGGAGTTGCGAATTTGCCCCCACCTTTGTGACGAAGGTGCACTTCCCTCGTCGCACCAGCAACACCTTCACCGTCTCCTCCGTGCTTGTCAGAGCTCGCCGCGGGTTTCTACTAAGCTTCTACTTATCATCTTGGCTTTCCAGTGTTCTGGGTACAAAAATCGAGAGCATCCACGCACTGGCCGGTCCTGACGGGGAGAGCCGTCCGCTGCAGCTGGTGCCGGCGACCGTGCAGACGAGGCCGGCATGGAGTAGTCGCCATGTTCGCAGTGGGCCTGCAGGCACCATCAACCCCCAACAGCCCGAAACTCGGCCACCTGCTCACAACCATCGCCCTGCTGGCCTTTCCCTTGGACTCGCTGTACAGAAGTTGTCCAAGAACCTGAACAACTCAGCAGCAGATGGAAGAAATCAAGAAAGCTTGACCTAGGCAATTCGCCCGAGGGGCTCCAACTGGTCTTAAACCCAACCCCATGAGCCGAAAGAGCCTAAACCCCAAGACCCAAAAGGCATAGTTAAGCCAACCCTATGACTCCTGGGCCTTGCAGACCTCTACGACCTGGATTTGGGGCCTTGGGCTTGTTTGGCTTCAGGGCTTTGGGGTTTAGGAGCACTGGGGGTTCAGGATTTGAGACTTAAGGGAGTTTTTGGGTGTCTTGGTGTTTAGGAGTTTAGGACTTTATATATGGAGCAGGTTCGCGAGCTACAAAAGGCAACCCTGAGTGAAGGTGACACTGCAGGTCCGGGGGCCGCGCTGTCTCGCCGTAGTACGGCGCGCCGAAAGTAGCTGTTGTGCCTGCCCGCCCTAAACTCCCCAAACCCTAAACTCCCCAAACCCTAAACTCACCAAAACCTAAACTCTGTAATTTCCCTCAACCCGTAAACCCGAAACCCACCTTAAACCTTAAACCCTAAACCCTAACCACTAAACAAAAAACCCTCCACAAGCAGCAGGGCTCAACTTCTGCTTCTTTCGGGATTCAAGCGCCCCACAAAACGAACCCTAGGTGTCAGGTGCCTAAAGCAAGGGTTTCGGGTTTGCGTTTCGGGGAACAGGACGTCGGGCACTTACAACTCTCATGGAGTTAAGGCCATCTTTTTACATTGTTTACAAAGCAACATGTACTCTTGATGCAAGGTGGTTGAGACGAACTTGTTATGAAACTCTTCGCTGAAGCTACCTATGAGTTGTGTCAGATGGGTCGCTTGGAGCACACGGAACACTTGGGGTCGGGAACACTTGGGTTGCTTGGATCACTTGAGTCACTTGTTAAATCCTTTAGGATGCGTGGCACACTTTCGTCACCACTGGGAACATCTGCATAGCTTGGGTCACTGGAAACACTTCATTCACGCGGTCACTTGGGACACTCGGGTCACCTGGGTCACTTGGGACGCTTGGGTCACTACCAGTGGTGTGTTACCAGGGTCACTTCGGGGCGCTGGCACTGGGTTCGCTCGGTCCCTGGGGACGCTTAGGTAACCCTAAACCCTAAACCCTAAACCCTAAACCCTAAACCCTAAACCCTAAACCCACCTGGAGCACCATGGACACTTGGGTCACTTCGGGAAGCTTCTGGTGCCTCTGAGAACCCCCAAAGCCTCGCAAGATCTCAACCCGAAGCCCACACTGAGCTCTGCACCATACACTACGCCATGGTTCTTCTTGAACCTCAGAGGCAACTGAGGTCGGGTTTAGGGTTTAGGGTTTGGGCTTAGGGTTTAAGGTTGGGGGTTTAGGGTTTAGGGTTTAGGGTTTAGGGTTTAGGGTTTGGGGTTCGGGGTTTGGGTTCGGGGTTTGGGTTTTGGGGTTTTGGGTTTGGGGCTTGGTTTAGGGTTTGGGGTTTGGGGTTTGGGGTCTGAGGTGGGGTTTTCGTGGCCATTTCCCCGCATAGATGGTACCATGTATACCCACAACTTAATCAAGTTCTTAGTAGAGGAACCCCAAATTGGACACCCGATTTTTGGGAGGTGAGTGTATTTGCGGCTCCTTTTTGATATTCGTGCGTGTATGAGATAGGGTGACCTTTTGGGGATGCTCGCAACAAGCACCCCGGACTCTGGCATTTCGCATACCCTGAACCCTTGGCCCCTAAACCCGAAACCCTAAACCCTAAACCCTTCCACGAAAGCCCCGAGCTTCAACTGTTGAACCGGATTGTAAAGAACCCAAGACTAGCCTTTTGCCAGAAAAAAAGACCCTAGGCCCTAGCTTGGGGATTATGTAGGTTGAGGGTTTAGGGCTTCGGGCTTAGGCATGATTAAACCCTAAACCCTAAACCCTAAACCCTAAACTGGGCCGGCGGCTCATGCGCCAGTGCCTTCGGCGCCAAGATGCGCAGTTGAGCTTCGACCTCAGAGCTTCGGCTCTAGCGCCTGAAACCCTTAGGGGTTTAGGGTTCAGGGTTAGGGTTTTGGGTTTAGGGTTTAGGGTTTGGGGTTTAGGGTTTAGGGTTTAGGGTTTAGGGTTTAGGGTTTAGGGTTTAGGGTTTAGGGTTTAGGGTTTAGGGTTTAGGGTTTAGGGTTTAGGGTTTTGGAGGGCGTCGGGTTTGGGGTTAGGCTGGGGCCTTGCAGGCATCCTTACGGCTTTGGGGCTCAGGGCTTAGGCTTAGGCTTTAGGGGTTTAAGGGATGAGGGGTTTAGGGGTTTTGGGGTTTAGGAAACCCCAAACGGGCTTTGGGATGCTAGGGGCTTTGGGGCTTTCAGGTCTAAATGGGCGCTGTGCGGTTGGGATTTCGGGCTTTGGGGCTTGATGCTTGTACAGGGTTTTAGGGCTTGGGGTTGAGGATTTTCGGAGGTTTTTGGGTTTAGTTAGGGCTTTAGGGTTTGGAGGCTTTAAAGGGTTTTAGGGCAGGGCTTTCGCGTTTTGGGGTGCTAGGGCCAGGGTGCTACGACTTTTGGGCTTTGGGGCTTTAGGCAACCGCCCTGGCCCTCAAAACAAGGGTTTCGGGTTGAGGGTTCGGGGTTTAGACTGACTTCGGATCCCTGAATTTGAGTGTAGCCCCGAAGTCCTAAAACACTGACAGACAGGTGGTGCTTCGCCCAGTGGGAGCGTAAGAAGGCGTGACCAAACTCTCTGGATACCTTTTGCCTGGTTTCACCGATGCAGGTGCATCAGATCTTTTGCCGCTGCGAGGGAAGCCGCCCTAAACCAAACCCTACTCCTAAAGCACATGGAGTAGGGTTTATATTTCTTGTATCCCCAAAAGGACACCAAATATATACACTCACCAATATTAAAAAGGAACCTTATATACACTCACCAAAAAAGATATATACCCTGCTTCACATGAATCCCCTCCCTCCCCCTCCCCCCAAAAAAAAGTAACCCCTAATGGTCTCAGTATACGCAGATGCTAGAAGGTAAACCCTAAACCCTAAACCCTAAACCCTAAACCCTAAACCCTAAAGGGAATAGGATTTTGCTTTCCTGGGGTCTGCACCTGGCCGATCCAAAGCAGCAAAGCGTGCGCTGCAAGGGGGGCCCTCATCACTGCGCCGTGGCTGTCTCAAAGGGTTTAGGGTTTAGGGTTTAGGGCTTAGGGCTTAGGGCTTAGGGTTTCGGGTTTTGGGGCTTAGGGCTTAGGGCTCAGGGTTTAGGACTTGTTCAAGGTTTTGGGATTGCTTTAGGGTTTATTGGGGTTGAGTATGTATTCTCAGGGTTTAGTGTTCAGATTGGGGGGGGATGGGGGTAGGGAGTTCTTGTGGGAGTTGGCTCGGATAAGGTTGTTACGCACCTACGCAACTTAACGTGCGTGTCCGTCTAAACTTTGCCATCAGGAGAAGGCGCTGACAAAACCCTAGGTTGAAAGATTTTTCTACTCACCCTAAACCCTAAACCCTAAACCCTCCATGTGGGGTGTTCGTGGAGTTCAGCGCGTTGCCTGACGCGTTGGCATGGTGCGGCTCTGAGAGCACCGAAGCTGCAGCTCAAGGGCTCATAGGAGCCTAGGGCCTAGGGCCTAGGGCCTAGGGCCTAGGGCCTATGGCCTAGGGCCTAGGGCCTAGGGCTTAGGGTTTAGGGTTTAGGGGTTTAGGGTTCGGGCGGAACGCCGAGGGCTGAGGGTTTAGGGCTGAGGCTTAGGATTTAGGACCCCAGGGTTGCTTGTAGGGTGTATGGGGCTTGCGGACCTGCCCAAAGTTTTGCCCCAGTCTCTTACGGTACCCAAAGTACCTTAGTTGCTGAGTTCATAAGCCCCAAAAGAGTGCACATCTTTCAGTTCTAATTCTTGGGGATTATAGCATCTCAAAAGGTTTACAGTGTACTCATTCAGCTACTAAGGTACCGTACTCCCAGCGACTCAGGAACCCCCACAGCACCCCTCATTTGTGGGCTTCGGGTGCAGGCTGCCCGGCAGTCATTCGGTTGGGGTTAGGGTTTAGGGGCTTGGGGCTTACGGCTTAGGGCTTGGGCTTAGGGCTTATCGGCTTAGGGTTTAGGGCTTAGGGTTTAGTCTTTAGGGTTTAGGGTTAGGACATGGGTCTTAGGGTTTAGGATCTTGCATGAAGATTTCGCACGCTCGGCCTGCACAGCCCGTATTGGGCCAAAGAATGCCTAAGCATGCTGGACCATTAGCAGCGCCCTAGAGAAGAAGCAGCCGGGTCACCCAAGCCCCAAACTCTGAAACCGCAACCCCTCAAACCCTCAAGCCCTAAACCCTAAACCCTAGACCCTTAACCCTAAACCCTAAACCCTAAACCCTAAACCCTAAATCATCTCTCGGGCTTCTGCTGCATCTTTGGCAGCTCACCATATCAAGCCACTGAGATCTTGCCAATGCTCCTGGACCAACCCCCAGACCTCGGTTTTTAGGGTTTAGGGTTTGGGGTTTGGGGTTTAGGGTTTAGGGTTTAGGGTTTAGGGTTTAGGGTTTTGGGTTTAGGGTTTATAGAGTTTATGGCTTCGGGTTTGAGAGTTTAGGGTTTGCTGCGGGCTTGTGGGGTTTCAGAGTTTAGAGTTTCGGCTTGGGAGTTGAGAGATTAGGGTTTGAGGGTTTAGGGGGGATGCGGGGTTGGGGTGCTTAAGGCTCGGGATTTTGAGCCTCAGGGATGGAAGTTTAGGTCATTTAGGATTTCGGTGTTTTGGTGGTTTGAGGTTGTCTGGCTTTGTTCGGGGTTATGTCGATGTTTTCGAGTTTTTTGGGGGTGTATGCCATGGTTGGACAACCTAATCTTGCCCGCAGCCCTAAACTCCGAAAACCCTAAAAACCCTAAACCCCTAACCCTAAACCCGTAAACCCCTAAACCAGAAGCCCCTAAACC